AATTCGGCTTGTACCATCGATCTGAACCAGCATTTACTCCACTCCATGACCCGGAGTGACATCAGTATGAGTGGAGTGGCAGTGTAATGGCGGTAATGTATGAGTCGCATTCTGCTGTGTTATACCTATTTGGAGACACTGGGACTCTCTTTCTCCTTTTCACAACATAGGTCCATGTGACCTGAAGGGACATGGAGCCAAAAGTTAAGTGTCAACAGCATTTCTTATATTCTTGGAACCACACTCTCCACAATACATCTATCTTCAATAACTTTAATTGCTGCATTCTTGTCTCAACCTCCATGCTACTCAATGTACCTTACTTGAGCTCTCTACATGCCAATTATGGCTTTCATTATCTGCCAAATGATAACCGGGGATATCTGTCCACTTAGAGGCCTGCCAACTCTTTGAATGGGACCTAACCCTTTACTAATTATCTGTTTACTTATATGCTTCACTGACTCATACAGAGCCCGGCCCATAATGGAAATTGTTTTATGCTACTCCATGTTTATTGAGCCTATGAGTTAATGTGCATTCATGGTTTAGGTCCTCATGGGAACCCAGACTCATATATAAGGGGTACCTTGATCTGTATACGTTACACTATTCGGCAGCATATTGCCGCTTTTATATGACTATTAATAAGCGTCCGGACATGGATATTTTTATTCACTTTTGAATGTTATGTCTGTATTGTGCATTCATGTTGTTTACACAAATTGAACTCACAATGTAAGTTGTCTAAGTCCACGCTGAAATTTCACTCCAAAACAAAGCAATAATATTAATAAAATTGATGTTTTAGGACACTAGGTGTCAAGGATTGATTTTTTTTTTAGAATCTCCAGTTTATATGATATCTGCCACCATAGTAACTACTTTTTGTGCAGCTTTCTTTTCATGTATGTTGTGACATGTCAAGAATTTATTCATGCAGGCTTGTTAAGTTACTGAAAGTTCCACTTTAATGCTTAATGCCTCTGTATCCGGCATCCTCTTTGTCCTACCTAATCTCTGTAGTCTAGACTGATTATGTAGGTTATCTTTGCTGTAATATAAAAAGTATGCTTTGGCCTCACATTACCTCTTGCTGTAGGATAATGTGTGTATGTTTCAGCTTAAGCCCAAGATACCCTGCTAATTCCAATGTTAACCAGATCACCTTGGTGAATATTTTAATACCTTAACCATTGAAAATGTACATTTTATTTGTGAGATAATCCGTCTTTTTACAAAAGTACTGTAGCATGCATGTATACAGGGTAAATTATATGACTTTTGAAAAACAATCATAAAAGTTTCTTACTGTACTATTAAAGGTATAAAAAAAGAAAACACATGATAACATCCTGTAGATATAACCAGCTTCCACATTCTGTCTTAGGCACCTGCAGAGCAAGAGCAGTAAATGCCAATTTTCTCAGCATCATGGCTCACTGCAAATGTCTATTGTCTGCTCTCAGCATTAATCCTCAATAACAGACAAAATAGCTGTTATGATCCAACAGCATCCCCTGCTTGAAGGTTACTTATTCCAAGATATTACATGAATCAAGTGACCTTGGATTGAATTAAGTAGTGTTTATGTGCAGTTTATGACCAGAGCAAATAAAACATTGATTAGTGTTATAGCATTTGAAATATACAGCCTGGTGGACTCATTTATAACGTACCAATTTATGCCAGCAATAACACTTGCCAGAACAGATAGTATGACCTGAAGCTTCTGTATATGTCTAATGCAGAACATTTCTCAGGAGACTAAGAAAAACAACTTGTATACACATCTGATAACCGTGGAGAAGGTACAGTATAACTCATACAAATGATGGCTACTATGTAACAGTTGTGAGTGGTGCTCATTTGTGTATTGTGGTGCTTACAGGATAATGTTGTCAGTTGAAAATCCACACCAGGACACCACGCCACCTTCACTGTTTAACTGACTAAACCTGTTTTTGAAAATTTCACAATATTTATATTTTCTATGTTTTATGATATGGAGCCTGTTGTATCACTTCAGTTCTATGTGATAATTATATTTCATAAGATTGCTTTCACATTTTTGCATGATTGATCATTAACAAATCATTTTGGAAGCATTTGTTTGTAGATCATTAGTCATATTGCATGCAAGCTCAGCATTCATTTTAAACAGATGCCTGCATGCAATATGTTCAGTGCTGTCCATAAATCTAAAGGCACTACAGAGAGTTTTTAAAAATTACCAAAAAAAAATAGTGAGTAGACGAGCTTACAGCCCCACTTCAAGTCAGACAGCACATACCCTGCCGGTATATAAAAAGTGGGAGCCTGCATCCTGATACTAATCCAGAAGCATGGGTGTTCAGAGGAGATGGATGCAGGCTCATACCAGCCTAATCGATTGAGAAATGTGTGATGACTTCGGCCACCGCTCCAGCCATGCCCCTTACACATTTCGCCCCTCCCACTGGGGTTTGGTCACAGAGGGTTTTTGTCATCAATTCCATATGTAGGTTGGAACACAGTAACTAAATGAAACAAAAACAGTTGTGTAGGAGACTTAATACTGGGATGAAGAACAGCCAAACTCTGCTACTAAGGGAAGGTTGTGGAAAACAGTATCATGTTATAGGTCATACACCATGGAAAGACTGAGCACAGCAACAAGACAATAGGTAGGAAGATTGCATCAGCAAGGTCTCTCCCAGGCAAAGGTTTCAAAGCAAACTGGGGTTTCAAGATGTGCTGTTCAAGCTCATTGGAAAAATCACAAAGCAATGGACATAGTTGAGGACCGAAGACACGGTGGTCAGCCAGGGAAGCAATGCCGCAGATGAAAGACACATCATGCTTACTTCCCTTTGACATTGGAAGATGTCCAGCAGTGCCATCAGCACAGAACTGGCAGAAACCTGTGGGACCCAGGTACCCAACTAATGTCCAGAGAAGTCTGGCTAAAAGTGATCTTCATGGAAGAATTGCAGCCAATAAGTCATACCTCAAATAAGGAAACAAGGTTAAGTGACTTAACTATGCAGGAAAACATTGGAACTGGAGTGCAGAAAAATGGTAGAAGGTCCTCTGGACTGAAGTCCAAATTTGAAATATTTGGCTGTAGTAGAAGGCAGTGTATTCAATTGCTTGGTAAATTGGTAAATCACATGGCAGCAACTCAATGCATTTAGGTATCTAGATGTGGTGAAGACGACTTGCTGCAGTTCAAACCAAGCATCGGAATGGGGAAGAAAGGGAATTTAAGTGACTTTGAACATGACATGGTTGTTGGTGCCAGATGGGCTGGTCTGAGCATTTCAAAAACTTCTGATCTACTGTTATTTTCATGCACAACCATCTCTAGAGTTTACAGAGAATGGTCCGAAAAAGAGAAAATATCTGGTGAGCGGCGGTTGTGTGGATGAAAATGCCTTGTTAATATTAGTGGAGAATGGGCAGACTAGTTTAAGATGATAGAAATGCAACAGTAAGTCAAATAACCACTTGTTACAACCAAGGTATTCAGAATACTGTGTCTGAATGCACACGTCAAACCTTGAAGCAGATGTTCTTCAGTAGCAGAAAACCACACCATGTGCCACTCCTGTCAGCTAAGAACAGGAAATGGAGGCTATAATTCATACAGGCTCACCAAAAATGAACAATAGAAGATTGAAAAAATGTTACTTGGTCTGATGAGTCTCGATTTCAGCTGCGACATTCAGATGGTAGGGTCAGAATTTGGAGTAAACAACATGAAAGCATGCTTGTATCAACGGATCAGGGTGATGGGCCCCTTAATACCAATTGAGTATTGTTTTAAAGCCACGGCCTTCCTGCGTATTGTTGCTGACCATGTCTATCCCTTTATGACTACAGTGTGCCTATCTTTAGATGTTTACTTTCAGCAGAATAATGCACTATGTCACAAAGTTCAAATCATCTCAAACTGATTTCTTGAACATGACAATGAGTTCACTGTACTCAAACGGCCTCCACAGTCAGCAGATCTCAATCCAATAGAGCACCTTTGGGATGTGGTGGAATGGGAGATTCACATCATGGTTGTGCAGTCATTAATTCTGCAGCAACTGGGTAATGCTATGTAAATATGGACCAAACTCTCTGAGGAATGTTTCCAACAGCTTGTTGAATCTATGCCACAGAGAATTAAGGCAGTTCTGAAGGCAAAAGGGGGTCCAACCCGGTATGAGGAAGGTGTACCTAATAAAGTGGCTGGTGCAGAGCATCAATGCATTACCTGTGCTCTTTTACCAAGAACATTTAAATGGATAATTTCTCTTGGTTTCTATGTTGACTGCAAGTGGACTGTTCTGCTACAGTTCAGCTATTCATGATAGCTAGATGGAAAATTATGACAGAAATTGATGTTTGCTGTGGGTGTACCCATTCTGGTGTCCATTACTAAGATGATCTCAAACTCCAGACTTTGTCTCTGCATGTTGTCATCCTTAGACACCCCCCACCACAATCCTCTGTATTCTCCAAGGGGCAAGTGTGTGAGATCTTATATGCAACACATGTACTTTAGTTTGCACTCTGTACCACCATTTTTTTCTCTCTTTTGGGAGAATGGCAGCTCAGATGAGCAAGAAAAAATATTTACCATATTGTTTGTTCTAAAGCCAAATGTTTTTATTTGAGTTTTGGTTAGAGTTTATAAGGGTTAGAACCCCTGTCATGTTTTTATTATATGTGTCGTAGGTGGTGAGATTTGCCCTTTCTACTTTATCTGGGACCGTTATCTCTGATACAGAAATCAATGCAGAACCCAAAATTGTACAGCTTTGAATTGAAAGAGAGAAATTTTGAGTTGCAAATCTATTCAAATTCATAACAAATGCTTCAGAAAGATGATAAAAATAACATGGCATAAATATTTACAACACGTGGAATGTAAAAAGAGTCTAGTCTAGTGATATGGTGTTTTTAGTTCATTTTAAATAAATTCATTCTTTAGTAGTCTTACTTAAGCATGCTTTTCCTTTTTCCAGGTACACGTTGTGAAATAGAAATAGATGAGTGTTTGTCAAAGCCTTGCTTAAACAATGGAGAATGCCGAGACCTGAAAGGAGATTTCCAGTGTGTTTGTCCTCCTGGGTATGCAGGCAAAGTGTGTGAGCAGAACATTGATGAGTGCCAAAGTGGTCCTTGCAAGAATGGAGCCACCTGCACTGATGGAATTGACAGCTACAGGTGATGACTGTTTGTCACTGATTACTTTGACTGTTGGAGAACTGAGGCCTTGTTCACACCATGGTGCAGAGACCTGAGTTTTTCTGCATGAGTTCCACAACGGCACAAAAAAAATGTTCTCTTTGGGGTTGATTTATTAAAGGCAAATAGGCTGTGCACTAAAAGTGCAGTGCAAGTGCAGTTGCTCTAAACCTGAGGGGAACATGCAAGGAAAAGAAAAAAAAATGCATTTTTGTATGCACATGATTGGATGAAAGAAATCAGCAGAGCTTCGCCTCATTTCAGAGCATCCCCTTAGATCTAGCGCAACTGCACTTGCAGTGCACAGTATATTTACCTTTAGTAAATTAACCTCCCTGTGTCCTGTTCAAACCACTGGTATCATGTGTGGATTTTTTTTTTAAACAGGAATCTGCAACGTGTATAAAACTCATTGCAGCACGACTGAAAACTGATGTAAACTGATGTCTCTGCAAGTGAAATCTGTGCGTCACTTATGGTTGAATGGTCAATGAATGAGGCCTGAGTCTTACTGTAAAATGCATTCTGAAATCCATCCACTTTCTGTACCTTATGCACTAAATACAATTCAGCCCAGTATTTACCTCACAACATAGCAGAAAGTACATTTATCATAAATGTTTAGAAGAAATATAAATACTTTAGAAAGGTACATTAATCACTCACTTTTCAGTATGCCAACTTTTTACATGCCTCCCATGTAGACCCTGCAGTCTTTGAAATGTAATCACAGCAGCGAGGTTTTTGCCATCCTAGGGTTGTAAACTAAATTGCAACATTTAGTGTATTTTTAAAAAATAATACATTGTTTTATATTTTTGGCCGATGACCAGCTGTGGCGATTATGAATTTTTTCAACCCTAAATTGTTTTTTGCTTGTCACTGGGTGAGATTCTGAGCTATTGCTGACTTTAGTTACTTCAATTTGAACTCCTTTGGGATTGTCAAAAGGGTACTTTAAAGCTCTGCACTTTGGAACTTAGACAAAATCTACCCTTAAAGTGGGGCCCCCATGCACTGCAAGGGTTAAAGGCTTGTTTAGTCTTGGGGTTCAGGGATAACCTGTATTACTTACTCTATCACTCAGTCTGTCAGGCTCCAACACTGTTCTCTTTTCCTGAAGCTTCATCACATGTAGTGCAAGGCTATCAATCCTATATTGCATGTGGGGGGGCGACCGTGCGACCGTTGGCCTGAAGTGCCTTAGAGAGCCAGCAGCACTGGAATGGTCACATGGAGGGAACCTGCTGAAGCTAGCAATAAAGTATGTATTACATCTTATCCCTGCACCCCTAGACTAAATGAGCATTTAAGATTTTGTCAAATTCCCAGAGTTCAGCTTTAAATGGACCATTCACATCTCGGGAAAATATGTTGAACCTGGATCTCATGCAAGGAAGCATCAGCGTTTACAAGATCACAGCCTTGTGTTGGAGGCTGTTTGCAGCACCTGCGGCTCCCTTGGCACAGGAAAGCACCAGGAACTTTGCACCAGGCATATAAATTGCCTAGAAATCTCCATATGTATGAACCCTTTCAGTGGTATTAAACCCCAAAACAAAAATGTGTTTAGTTTACTTAATAATACTTATCCAGCTTGCTTATTCTAGGATGGTGGCTGCATCAATTTTCTTCTCTTACCTTTATTGTCACCTGGTGATCCAGCCAGTAAAGTCTATTATTTTTCACCTTACTTTAATAGACCAAGCTGTCTAAATAAGGTAACAGTTAGGGGGTTAAGACAAATAATTTTTCACTGACAGGGATGCTTACAATGATCAGCTTTTATTCATATACAGTATGCAAAACCTTTATCCCAAAAGGAAAAAAAAGCTTGCTGTAACTATTTGTAAACGTTTAGCTGGGATTCAGCTTCAAATCCTTAGTCAAGTCCATCTAAATATACTAGCACATCTAACCACACACACACACACTCACTTAAAATGCAGCTGTTCAAAGGTGTCTGCTTTACTACTTCATCCAGAGCGGAAGCACTCTAGTGCAGGAAGTGTGCCTAAAAAAAACAAATGAATGCAGCCACCACATCTAATGATTGGTAAACTGCAATATATTCTATGTTACATTTTTGGTTTAATAATGTTTTAATGTTTCATAGCAAAATGTAGGTGCATCCTACATCAAGAAAGAAAGGGAGCACCCCAGGGGCGGACCGACCATTTGGAAACTCGGGCAATGCCCGAGGGCCCGGGGTCAGTAGGGGGCCCCATGAGATGCCCCTGGTACCTTTTTCATAGGCTTTTTTGAGTTTGGGCAAGGACACAGGGGCCCCATGATCCCCTATTGCCCGGGGGCCCCATGAGTTGTTAGTCTGCCCCTGGAGCACACCATTGGCATCACCAGCTTCAGCAAATTTTTCAGCCATACAATCCATGTTGCAAGTCCCTACCTAGAGACTGCCCCTCTAATGCATTTCACTCTTACTAGCCTAATGCTTTTCACCCTTACTGGCTTAATCATAGAGTTCTACGACTTGAAGCATGGTTTGTATGCTGGAATAAATCCACCAAAACTGGTGATGTCATCAGTGTGTGTCCTTTTTTCCTTGAATTATATTCACATGGAACATGGACAGGCTCCAGAGACCAGCAGTAGATGTGCTGATAGTGGTCAGCTTGGAGTAGTCGGTTAGTAAGCAATATTTTGACTGTAAGTGCATCCTAATTCAGCTATACCTAATATATTCTTTCAAAATGGGTTGACTATTTACTTTGCACCTGATATAGTCAGTTGCTTATGATTTTCATTTTGAAGAACAATAATAGTTTCAATTTCTACTATGATGAGTTAAAGGTAACCAAATCAAGGTCATGTAAAACTGCATATTTCAAGTTTATTCCTTGTTGGACTTGTGTTTGTGGTTATTATCAAAGTCCCAGATGTCTTCACACCTGCAGGAGATTTTCAGTTACAATGACAGCTATGCAGAGGACATGAACACAAATTAAAAATGTAAAGCACCCTAAATAGAATATGCAATTTGCTGAGAAAAATGTGGTGATAGCTTTTAACCATTCAATTAAAGTATTTACAGTTTTGTTGATACAGTTTTCATTTACTTGTTGAATATTGATTATCTTAGTGAACATTTTAGTATCAATTACTGTTTAGCTGTACATAGACTTTCCAACCTTAGAAATGTCTCCCCCTCTCTTTCTGGTGAATTATGTATATCATTCACATTTTCGGATTTTGTGGATATTTTCGTTTTAATAAGCTAACTATTAAAGCAATCATGTGGAATAACATAAATGTTATAAATGTTTAAAAATAGGCAGTTCTGGTTATCTTTAGGGATGAGCCAGTGAACTGGCCTGGGTTGTATTCACAAGAGCAAATCAGATTTTGTCGATATTACAGTTGTTCATGCTAACTATTAAAGCTAATCTATGGAGAAAAAGAAAAGTTAAAACTCTTTTTCTTACCCTGAAAAATTCCCCCTCCCCAAACTCTGGTTCTCTGTATTGATGTGGGAATTTTCCTGCGAATTGTCCCTTGAGGGACACATACCAATGCAAAACAGAGTTTTTAAAAATACCATTCAGCAGGGAGTGGAACTTTAAATAAGGCTTAAGGGAAACATAAAAAAATACAAAATTCTTTTAAAACAATACTTAGAGGATGTCGAAGTAGTGAACGTAAGTGGTGCTTCTGTAGGACGTACTCCAGCAAAATAATAACAGGTGTTTCTACTCCGGCCTCTTTGTAAATAAAGTGGGCACATGGTCAGTGATGTCAGCCAGTGGAGAGATGTCATTTGTTGCAAAAGCCCAGCAGGGAGGATTGTTGAATGCCATGTTTGTGTCAACTGGTCATTGGGGCACCATTCAGAATGATTAGCAGGCACTATAGAAAAAAGAATTTTATAACACAAAAGGTCCCATGATGTAAATACAATGTCACTCATGTTGTTCACTGGTGTAGATTATTTTCAATCATGATGAACAGCAATCCACTGACACAATTATTTATTTATTTCAGGTACTTATATAGCAGTGTCAATTTTTGTACAGCACTTTACATATATATTGTACATTTACATCAGTCTCTAACCCTCAAAGAGTGTACAATCTAAGGTCCCTAACTCACATTCATACATACACATACTAGGGCCAATTTAGACAGGAGCCAATTAACCTACCAGCATGTCTTTGGAGTGTGGGAGGCACAGGGAGAACATGCAAACTCCAGGCAGGAGGTGCCATGGCTGGGATTCAAACCAATGACCCTAGTACTGCCTAGAAGTGCTAACCATTTAGCCACTGTTCTCACCTCGTGAACACTACTATTGGTCCATCACTGTGATGGACATCTTCACTAAATTATAGTAATGTCCATAATGCAGGAGGGAGCAGGGCCAGGGCTACAGCCAGAGCCAACAGCATGATCAGGGTTTTGCAGGGCAAATGTACTCTCTAAGAATACAAAACTAGCATGAAATCTTAAAGTAGTATTAAATACAAAAACAAAAACAAAAAATGCATTATATTGCAGCGTACCAATCCTTAAATGTGGTGGCTGCAATAGTTTTTTAGTTTTTTTCTTTTTTTCACCTGATGATATGGCCAGTCTGTTGTTTTTCACTTTCCTTTAACAAATGAAGCTGTCCAGTAAAAGTGGCAGTTTGTAGGCTGAGGCAAATCATTTTCCACTGACTGGGGTGCTTATTACAATGAGCAGCTTTTATTCATCTATGTAAAAACTTTATACCAAAAGGAAAAATAAATCTGTTGCTGTAACTGCTTAAGGCCTTGTTCACATCAATGCGCAGAGACCTCAGTTTTTCTGCATGTGTTCTGCAAGGGCACAAAAGAAGAACAAATGTTCTCTATGTGCTCTGCCCTGCCCCATACCACAACATTAATATCATGTGCGTTTTTTTTTCTGTGTAGGAATCTGCAACGTGTATGCAGTTTTCTGCGTGGAAAAAAAATGATGTGACATAAACACTGTGGTGTGAAAACTGATGTCAACGTGCATGAAAACTCATTGAAACATGCATGAAAACTAATGTGAAACTGATGCAAACTCATGTCTCTGCAAGTGAAATCTGCGCGATTTTACCACCAGTTTTCATATATGTATGATATGAACGAGCCCAAACACATTTTGAGTTTGGCTTAAATTTGTTAGTCAGATCCATTTAAATTTAACACTACCTTCTCCTCAGACAATTCTTGCTCCCCCATCCAGAGTAGAGACACCCTAAAGCAACAAGGGTGTTACTGGCCAGATCACCAGATGAAAATAAAGGACAAAAAGCCTAAAAAAGAAAACTAACACAGCCATCACATTTAAAGCAGTATTAAACCCAAAAGGGAACATTTTTTATCTTGCAGTATCAATTCTTAGATGTGATGGCTGCATTAATTTTCTTTCTTAGGCTTTCATTCTATTTTCCACTGGTTATCTAGCAGTATGTTTGTTGTTTTCAAGAGAATAAGCTGTCCTGCAGATGTAGCAGTTACAGGGTTGAAACAAACCATATAACACTGACAGGGGTGCTTATAATGTTCAGCTTTTATTCATTTGCGTAAAAACGCTATACCAAAAAGAAAAAAACTGTCTGATGTAACTGCTTAAAAAGGGCTATACAGTTTGGCTTCAGTTTGTTAGTGTATTTAAATCTGCTAGTGCATTTAATATTACCTTCCTGCAGACTGACAATGATGCTGTCCAAAGGTGTCCCCTATACTCCTTCATCCAGAGTGGTGTCAGTATAATACAGAGGCTATGTTACTGGCCAGATCACCATTTGAAAACAGAGGGAAAAAATCCCCAAAAAAGAAAACAAATGCAGCCATCACAATGATTGGCAAGCTTGGGTTTAATACCACTTAAGTTTACTGTCTTCTGAATTTCGATTGGTTCATATTGAATGTTGCTCGTTCATACATATTGCATAGTAACAGAGCAAAGAAAAACTATTGAAATGTTTATCATTTGTGTTCTTCTAATATGGTACACAAGAAATATTTTATAGTTTGCTACTTTGTAAATTGCTGCAACATCAAATTTTGTCCTTCTTTATGTCCTTTTATATTTTTTTTTTAGTTGTCGTTGTCTGGATGGCTTCACTGGACAGTTCTGTGAAATTAACATTGATGAATGTGTATCTAGCCCCTGTCTTAACCATGCTAAGTGTGTAGACAGCATTAACTCCTACACTTGTAAATGCCCGCCAGGATTTTCTGGAAGCAGGTGTGAAACAGGTATTTCTCATTTTGATTGCAGCAGTAAAAGCACAGGTTTTACATTTATGGAATTTTTTTTTTTCGTGTACTACATAGTATAAGATGTTCATATGTTGTCTTGTAAGCAAGCTTACTCAAGACCATGATGCTGGACATACACCCAGGAGATTTCAGGGTATTTTTTTTCCAGATTTTTATTGGTTTTACAAATATAGTTACATCAACAAAAAAAACAAAAACAAAAATAGGACAGTGAAAAGCTACACAATATCACAGTATAGGTGTTTTGGTAAAGTTTAACATAGTAAAAAGGAAATATTGAATAATTCCTAATAGTCCTACTAGTTCCACAAAATAATAATTTTAGAGTATCCAAAAAAAAGGTTAAACATAATAATATCTTAGGTTATAGTTCTGAACCAGTCGGCTCAGGGTTTCCAAGCTTTGTCAAATGTAGTAATTCTATCATTTAAGTAAGCTAAAGATTTCTCATAGAAAAGTGGGTCTGGACTAGCTCAATGACTTCTTTTAGAGAAGGGGCTAAGTCTTTTTTCCAATGTCTAGTAATGATAAGTCTTGATGCTAGAAGAATATGTGTCACTAAAAGTCGATAATAGATTGGATATGTATCTATATTTATATTCAAAATGGCTAGGGTAGGATCTGGTTGTTGTAATTTCCGATATCATGTGGAAGACTTTATACCAATAGCCTAATTTTTAAATGTCCATAATATGTGTATTAGAGTACCAATATGACCGCAGTTTCTCCAGCATTGAGGACTGTGTTGTTCTGAGAATGTGGCCATTTGGTAAGGAGTTAGATACCATCTTGTGGAAATTTTGTGTGTTAGCTCCCTAAGGTTGATTTCAGGGTATTTTAATTAGTTTTGTTTCACTGGCTCAAAAATTGTTGTTGGTAGGATTCATAAACCCTTTTGGTTGTTTTTCAATTAATTTACCAGAATATTTCCTTGTGTGATTTTAGCTAGGTCTTGCTTTTCCCACATTCGGACAGCAGTTAAGGTGAATTCATCAGTAACAGTGTAGAAGAAGCATGCTGATAAGTTATTACTAGGGATGCACTGATACCCGTTTTTTTTTATCAGCGAGTACGAGTAACGATACTTTTGGTCAAGTACCCATTACCGATACTTTTCAGTGCGTTTTTCCTCAATTCAAAATAGATGGCCGCAAAGAATATCATGCTATTTGAACAGGAATGTGATTGCTGTCCAAATTGCATGCAGTTTCCCCACTGCTCCTGTGTGAATCCTCAGAGAGCAGGTATGTGGGGATGTATACTATGGAAGCAGATGGTACATAATCTCAGTACTAGGAGAGGAATGAAAGCAGGCTAGAGGGCTTTTCATTGGTCAGCACTGTCACATGGATAAGATGCATGGTGCTGACCAATCAAATGCTGTCTAGCGCATACTATCATCCCTACAAGGAGAGTACAAAAAGTCACTTCACAGGTCTGAGGATTTGAAATCCCCGCAGCTTTCCTCCTCTCCTTGCAGTGATGACAGTATGCGCTAGACAGCATTTGATTGGTCAGCACCATGCATGTGACGGTGCTGACCAATCAAAAGCCTGTCATCCCTGCAATGAGATTTGAAATCCCTGCCTCTTTCTCTCCTCTCCTACTGCTGAGAATATACATAGTATACATCCCCACATGCCCACTCTCCACTCAGCATGGAATACCCCGCAGGAACCGCTCCTTTGTGAACGCAGGCTATGACAAATTGCACTCCTGTTCAAATCGCATGCTAATCTTGGCGGTGAAATTTGTATTGATGCAAATCACACAGCAAAGTATCTGTTTGCAGTATTGGGAGCATTTTCACTTTGTACGAGTACTCATGAAAATACTTGGTATCAGTGCATTCTTAGTTATTACAGCACATTTTGATTTTGTAAAAGAAACAAGCATTATCAATATGGCACACATACAATCCAAAACAATTGTTAATTCAGTCTAATTTGGTTATGGTCTATGTGTATGGTTCATGGCTAAGCTACCACAATGGCTGTTCCATTGTCTGGTGAGAGTGCTCTTTATGTCCACTAAGCCAGGCTAATTATGCAACAGAATTGCAATTCTAAGAGCCTAGTTAAGGCAGGCCATTGATGATGTGATTTTCTTTCCTGCAACCGCAGGTTGCAGAAAAGAAAATCTCTCTATTCCCCCATCAACACAGTCAGTGTTGCTAGGGGAATGCCTCTGTGGAGCTATTATGTTCTCCAAGCAGGAGGGGCATGGGGAGCTATCCCTGCCGGGAGAACACAGTGATTATTGCTAGCGGCTATAGCTGCTGCCAGTAATCACATGCTAAAAATCCAACATACTGGTTGTACCCAAATCGATCAATGGATCGACTTGGCTACAATCAGCCTGCCCATAGATTGATTGGATCTTGTGTGTTCCCTGCTAAATCAATCAATATTTGATACATCTATGGCTGCCTTAAGTCAGTGAAGTCAGGCCCCAGTAACATGACAAAAAAATTAGAAATGGATAAAGCAGATGTCTTTCTGTAAAAAAAAATTAACAGAAAAAAGGGAATAGAGGCATCTTTGGGTGTTTCCTTTTGGGTAGGACTTTGTGTAAATTGAGTACAGGGTCACATAACTAATATATTTTCATGTGTTAATTGTGGATTGGTAGCTTCTAGTGCAAGGATCTCTCCACTATTGTAATTTTGGCATGGGGGCTCTGCGAAGACGATAGTCACCTTCCAGCATGAGCTGACTATATTGTAGAAAATGTTAACTTGTGTAAGGGATTGTGTTAGTGTTAGACCTAAGAGTTAGAAAGTTGAGACTGTTACTAAGACTGGGTACTATGTTACGGTGAGTTTAGGGGAGGTGCAAAATTATATGCATTACGATAAGCTTCTAACCTCAGCTGACAATAAAACCTGAAAGATGATTAAGTTCTATTTTTTACTAAAGCTTTAGTAAATAAAAAGTGCAAAATCAGGCTCACCTCTGCATAGAAACCAATAAGTGCTTCTAACCTCAGCCTGACCTTTACAAAGTTCCTCTGTTGATGAACCATAAAATTATTTATGCATCATAAATGAGTCCCTGATTTTGCCTTTCCCAGCTTTTAGTAAATAAACCCCTTTCTGTAGCTTCTTTAGAATTTGGAAAATGTGTTTTTGATGGTAGGGGACCCCTGGACCCCAAAGGGGTCGCAACCCACAGGTTAACTGAGTTAGAGTTATGGTGAAGGCTAATTGCCAAAGCACTAGGTTAACTATTAGGTCTTGTGGTGGAGATTAAATCCAAACTCCAAACATTAAATATCAAACGTTGTATCGTTCATAACTGTGTTCCTTTGTGTCAACGAAGGGCTAGCATAATGGGATTGCACTACAAACAGCTCTAAAACATTGTAAAAGGGTGACATTTTCCCACTCTGACTGCTTTACATGTCAAATAGTTCTGCCTCCATGGCTGTTCCCCAACCTTTTCTTTCAAGAACTTGGCGGGAAGTAAGATATCCCAGTATTACATGCAACTCAATGTATCAATGCAAAAACTCAAAAAAATGTATTCTAAATACTCTCACAGAAATGCTGATGTGTTTTTGTTTGCTGCAGAACAGCCTTCTGGATTTAATCTGGATTTTGAGGTTTCTGGTATATATGGCTATGTCATGCTTGATAACCGTTTACCCACGCTGAATGCCATCACCTGTGCCTTTTGGATGAGGTCAACAGATGTCACAAATTATGGGACTCCAATATCATATGCCATTGAAAATGGCAGTGATAATGCATTCCTACTCACAGATTATAACGGGTAAATAAAGGCTTGTATGATAGCTAACCTTTATACAGTGTAATATAAATTAATTACTTTTTTAATATTCTTGTTTTTTGAAATGATTGAACAATATTTTGTTTACAATACAACCTTTAAACAAATAGGTTCAGTTTTGGTTTTAAGGCCTCCTTCACATAGAATAAAAACAGTGTGTTCACCTAAGCGAGGGCTGTCTTTGTCCACATGAGATGCACAGGTGTTCCACCTCTGTGTGCAGGCAGTCCCATTGCATGGGCACAGTTGTTGGTCCCAATCTGTGCTGATTTGTGCAGGTACAAGTGTGTGTCCCAGAACGCAGACAGCATGCACCTGTACAGATGTGTATATACAAGAGGGCTTTGTATAGCAAGTCCATAGCATAAAACAAAACATTTGCTTGAAAAAGTCACTAATCGAGCACAGGTCAGTTCCTGGACCCTAAGCCCCACACATGTGAAGTTGAGGAACCTAGATGACACCATCCACAACTCTGTCAGGCAGAGCCTTACATACCCCCAGGTTTGAACTGGCCACATTTAGCCAATATACAGTGAACTCATGATATTTCATCAGCCTTTTCTAGATACGTCCCTGGCCTGTGCTCTACATGCCATATAGTATCGATTCACTGTAGTGGAAAATAGTTTGTAATCAATCAGAACTGTCTGTCCAAATGCAATCCTTCTTCATACTATTTAACCATGGATCCACCATGTGCTCCCTTTGGTGGGATGAGTAAGTGGAGCTGCTATAGTATCAAAGTTAGGACATATATCTGTTAGTATCCTATAATCCCTAAAAAGGCCAGATCTACATAATTGTTCTGGGTTTTGTGTCCAAAAAAGTATTGAAGCCCACTAGGTAACTAGTATTTGAAAAGAAGGTAAAAATGTCAGCCTCTGTTTCTTTCAGTATAGGTTTCCCTAAAGCACAAACATTGTACAGGTCCCTTAAGAATGCACATCCTGCAGATGTGTTGGGTAACCATGGCTGCTTCAGATACATTAACCTGACAAACCTGAAAAAATTTAAATTTTGTTGTGATGGGTCATATTAATATCTCTTATTACTCTGTTCTTGGCAAAAGACCTTCATTTGAAATTGTTCTAAATTCATACTCTGCATGAGATGTTTGTTGTGTGTGTACTGTTTTACACAAATTCATTTAAGAAAAAGTAACTACCTATGGTGCAGGTGGGTACTCTATGTCAATGGGAAGGAGAGAATAACTGACTGCCCTTCAGTGAATGATGGTAGATGGCATCACATTACAGTCACCTGGACAAATAGTGATGGGTCTTGGAAAGTTTACATTGATGGAAGACTATCTGATGGTGGAAAAGGACTATCTGTTGGAATGCACATCCCTGGTGGGTAGCAATAGTAGATTACAATTATCAAAATGTGCTGTACTAAAGTATAATTTGGTTATGCAGCAATGAAGTAAAAAAAAAATGGGTACACAAACTCTGTTGAGGTGTCAGCCTTCTGTTATTTTGGAGCTTAGTGCAAACCTTTAAGTCTAAACAGATTTTCACTAGTGTCTACTTGGCACATGCAGAGCAGGCCATGGCATACCCGTGGTTCTTTGACCATTTCTTCATGTTTTTCTATGCCTTCAGTATGTTTAGGATCACAAATGTTTTCCAGGACCACACACCAAAATAATGTATCACAAAACAAATGTTCAAAAAATGGCTTCAGCTGGCTGTCCACCTCTGTTTCACACATGTGGAGCTTAATCGTAATGGCCTCTATTATTAAGCCCTACACAAGTGTGACATATTAGAGGGGCTTATCTGATGGGTGGATAGCCAGCTACAGCCATTTTGTGATAATTTGTTTTGTGATTTACTATATTGGTGTGCAGCCCTGGGAAATATTTGCAGTTATATGGTCAGGCTTGACATGCTCTTATCAGTGACCCAGCAGCAGTATTTGAATTGGCCAATCAATCTGACAGAAACATGTGGGCGGTGCTTCTTTTTATTTGTTTCATATATGTTTAGGGTGTTCTGATATTCAGTTTTAGGGTGGGAAGCATGTATTGATCCTATTGAAGAGCTTAATTTCTGAAGCAGGTGTTCTACATGTTTAGAGAGGCACATATAAGCATACACCTGAATAACAAAAGCTCTAGTGTCTCCCTGCCCTTCTATGTTGTTGTTTTTTTTTTTGAGAGCTGAAATCAGTAAGAATCAAGGTTAAGGAAGAGCTTAGGACAGTGGTCTCCAAACTGTGGCTCGGGGGCCAGATGTGACCCTTTCCTTGCTTTTATCTGGCCCTTGAGGCACAATTCCAACTACTGATGCTAGGCACTATTCCTTTTAATGACACCAACAATAAGGCATAATTCCTGTCACTGATGCCAACAATAGGGCACTATTCCTACCACTGACCCCAACAATGGGGCACTATTCTTCCCACTGACACCAATGATGGGGCACTATTCCTCCCACTGTTACCAATTGCAGGACACTATATTTCCCACTGACACTAATGATGGGGGACTATTCCTTTCCCTGGTACCAACAATGAGGCACTCCTCCCACGATACCACTGATGAAGCACTATTCTTTCCCCTAATATCAACAATGGGGCAATATCTCTCCCACTAATAGCATTGATGGGGCATTGTTTATTGCCATTGACGCCAGGACATTTTCTACTTACGCTAGCTGGCCAAAGTCTGAAGGACAGTAAATTGGCCATTTGTTCAGAAAATGTGGAGACCCCTGGCTTAGGACATCACAGGAGGGATCAAGAGATTTGGTCAAGGATGAGGGAAGTAATCTTAAAGTATATGTTACCCCAACATTGCATATTCCTAGTATGTGTCTGTTACAATGTGCTTGTGTAAAAAGGTATTCTGTTCTCTTAGAATTGTTTCTTTTGTGAAATCCCTGGTGATCTTGCCAGTCCCCCTGTTTTTCTATTTTGAATTGATCACGCCAGGCTTAGTCTGTCTGTAATTTGATGGTCAGACTCCTACACAGTTCTTAGCTGGGAAGATCAGTGTACTGCTGTTTCTCTGCCTACTCCTGACATGCCTCCAGCCCCCCAACCCCAGCAGTCTCTAATCCAGCTCTCTGAGCCCCATATGCAGCTAAGAACTGAAGTCATGTGAGCACTTATAAAAATAGGCAAAACAAAAGGTATTTAGAATTTCTATAGGTACAAGAACATTTTGCCTTGCATTTCTTTTTTAAACTGAAAGAGATGTATTTAGGGTTCACATATGCATGAAATCTTTAATTTGAAGGATATGTCCAGACAAAATGTTTTGTCTTAGTTTTGGATATAAAGGGGAAGGATGAAAACTTCCGTCAAGTTTGTTTTAGTGCTGTCTGGTGCTCTGTTAAATTTTGCACTCACTTCTTGTTCCACTGACAATAGTTTACCAGACAGAAAGTGAGAGGAACTCTCCAAAATCCACAAAGATAGGAATAAAAAATATTTTCCTTAATAGAGTAGGGGAGGCTTGAACCCCAGTCAGATTTTTGTTTCTGTCCTTTTCCCTGTCTTGCTGACACCAGTTTAACCAGATAGGATGTGAGGGTAAGTCTCACTCCAGTGGCTTCCAGGATAGCAGTAAAAACGTGACTGGGGTTATAATCCTTCCACCATACTATGCAAAATGATGCAAAAAAAAGTTTTGCTTCGACATACACTTTAACCTCTTGCCGACCGCGCATAGCCGAATGATGGCTTCACTGCGGCCGGCCAGTTCTGGGTGGATGTCATATGACGTCCTCCCAGAACGCGCTCTCCTGCGCGCCCCAGGGGGCGCGCACCCAGCGATCTCCGTGATCGCTGTGTCCTACGGACACAGCTGATCACGTGATGTGGTAAAAGGCCAATCACAGCGGCCTTTTACCACGTGATCAGCGGTGTCCAATGACACGCTGATCACAGGGAAATGCAAGTGCCGGTTCTCGGCTGCACTTTCCTCACGCTGTCAGATCGTGAGGAAAGTACTGCCGAGAACCGGCAGTTGTCAGAGCGGGGATCGGCACCGATCATCAGGGCACTGATGATCAGTGCCCTGATGATTGGTGCCCAGCAGTGACACCCGCAAGTTCCGCCCAGCAGTGCGCCCACTAACTCCGCCCACCCGTGCCCAGCAGTGCCCCCACCTGTGCCCAGCAGTGACCCCACCTGTGCCCAGCAGTGCACCCACCTGTGCCACTCTGCAGTGCCACCTACCTGTGCCCAGAAGTGCCACCTACATGTGCCCAGCAGTGCCACCCACCTGTGCCCACCCACCTGTGCCCACCAGTGCCACCCACCTGTGCCCACCAGTGCCACCCACCAGTGCTGCCCACCAGTGCCACCCACCAGTGCAGCCCAGCAGTGCTGCCAGTCGGTTGTGCCAGTCAGTGCCGCCAGTCAGTGCCCAGCAGTGATGCCAGTCAGTGCCGTCTATCAGTACCCATAATCAGTGTCACCTATCAGTGCCGCCTATCAGTGCTGCATATCAGTGCTGCCTATCCGTGACCCCTAATTAGTGCTGTCTATCAGTGCCGCCTATCCGTGCCACCTCATTAGTACTGCCTATCAGTGCCCTTTAGTGCTGCCTATCAGTGCCCATCAGTGCCGCCTATCAGTGCCCATCAGTGCTGCCTCATCAACGCACATCAGTGAAGGAGAAAAAATACCTGTTTGAAAAATTTGGCCTGGTAAGGAAGGGGGTATAAGTGCCTGGTAGGCAAGTGGTTAATCCTCAATGTGAAAGACAATACATCCATAATATAATGTATATTCTGACTTTATGGTTGCTGTACTGCTAGGCCACACACACACACACACACACTATATATATATACATATATATACAGTATGTGTATATATATACAGTCAGGTCCATAAATATTGGGACATCGACACAATTCTAACATTTTTGGCTCTATACACCACCACAATGGATTTGAAATGAAACGAACAAGATGTGCTTTAACTGCAGACTGTCGGCTTTAATTTGAGGGTATTTACATCCAAATCAGGTAAACGGTGTAGGAATTACAACAGTTTGCATATGTGCCTCCCACTTGTTAAGGGACCAAAAGTAATGGGACAATTGGCTTCTCAGCTGTTCCATGGCCAGGTGTGTGTTATTCCCTCATTATCCCAATTACAATGAGCAGATAAAAGGTCCAGAGTTCATTTCAAGTGTGCTATTTGCATTTGGAATGTGTTCCTGTCAACTCTCAAGATGAGATCCAAAGAGCTGTCACTATCAGTGAAGCAAGCCATCATTAGGCTGAAAAAACAAAACAAACCCATCAGAGAGATAGCAAAAACATTAGGCGTGGCCAAAACAACTGTTTGGAACATTCTTAAAAAGAAGGAACACACCGGTGAGCTCAGCAACTCCAAAAGACCCGGAAGACCATGGAAAACAACTGTGGTGGATGACCGAAGAATTCTTTCCCTGCTGAAGAAAACACCCTTCACAACAGTTGGCAGATCAAGAACACTCTCCAGGAGGTAGGTGTATGTGTGTCAAAGTCAACAATCAAGAGAAGACTTCACCAGAGTGAATACAGAGGGTTCAACACAAGATGCAAACCATTGGTGAGCCTCAAAAACAGGAAGCCCAGATTAGAGTTTGCCAAACGACATCTAAAAAAGCCTTCACAGTTCTGGAACAACATCCTATGGACAAATGAGACCAAGATCAACTTGTACCAGAGTGATGTGAAGAGAAGAGTATGGAGAAGGAAAGGAACTGCTCATGATCCTAAGCATACCACCTCATCAGTGAAGCATGGTGGTGGTAGTGTCATGGCGTGGGCATGTATGGCTGCCAATGGAACTGGTTCTCTTGTATTTATTGATGATGTGACTGCTGATAAAAGCAGCAGGATGAATTCTGAAGTGTTTCGGGCAATATTATCTGCTCATATTCAGCCAAATGCTTCATAACTCATTGGACGCCGCTTCACAGTGCAGATGGATAATGACCCAAAGCATACTGCAAAAGCAACCAAAGAGTTTTTTAAGGGAAAGAAGTGGAATGTTATGCAATGGCCAAGTCAATCACCTGACCTGAATCCGATTGAACATGCATTTCACTTGCTGAAGACAAAACTGAAGGGAAAATGCCCCAAGAACAAGCAGGAACTGAAGACAGTTGCAGTAGAGGCCTGGCAGAGCATCACCAGGGATGAAACCCAGCGTCTGGTGATGTCTATGCGTTCCAGACTTCAGGCTGTAATTGACTGCAAAGGATTTGCAACCAAGTATTAAAAAGTGAAAGTTTGATTTATGATTATTATTCTGTCCCATTACTTTTGGTCCCTTAACAAGTGGGAGGCACATATGCAAACTGTTGTAATTCCTACACCGTTCACCTGATTTGGATGTAAATACCCTCAAATTAAAGCTGACAGCCTGCAGATAAAGCACATCTTGTTCGTTTCATTTCAAATCCATTGTGGTGGTGTATAGAGCCAAGAATGTTAGAATTGTGTCAATGTCCCAATATTTATGGACCTGACTGTATATATGTGTTTATGTATATATATATATATATATATATATATATATATATATATATATATATATATATATACACACACACACACAGTATATATTGAATATTAAGTATCATCATTCCAGACATTCAGACACCATAACTAGGTGAATTATGTAATTATCAAAACTTAAATAAAAAGAGTATTTTATCGTTTTTTATTTAATTTTTTTTTTAATACAACTTAAAAGTATGCATCAATGATTTAAGGCGCTCAAAAAGAGAAATGTCTTGATATTTTATATACATACACAGTTTACAATCTCAGCACATCTGAACACTTGTTACTGTTTACAAATGAATTGGCCAGGTGAATGTTATTATTATTATTATTATTATACTACAGGATTTATATAGCACGAACAGTTTGCACAGTGCTTTCAACAATAAAGAGAAAAAGTACAGTTACAATGCAATTCACAGTAATAGGGTTCAGAAACCCTGCTTGTGAGAGCTTACAATCTAAAAGAAACCATAAAGTGATACAGAAGGTAAAAACAGTGAGGAATGAGTTGATGGAGAAAGTAAAAGTTCAGTTGATTAGGTGGAGGTGGTATAGGCCTCCCTGAACTGGATTTGATTTATTTTTAGGAAAATGTGCATGTGATTCTCCTAATTCAATTAAACCTTTCATTTTACACTTTCTAACATTGGGTGTGATATTCTGATTGTCTAGGTGGGGGAGCATTAGTCCTTGCACAAGAACAAGATCAAAGAGGAGAAGGTTTTAACCCTGCAGAATCTTTTGTGGGATCACTCAGTCAGCTTAATATTTGGGATTATCCACTTTCACCAGAACAGGTAAATAAGTAAAGATGACTTATGTATTAAATAACCATCAGTGATTACAATATGGCATCACGTACTGATGAAGAATGATTGCCGCAGAGTTGTATAGAAATTGATTAAACTTTATGCTATTACTGTAGGTGAAATCTTTAGCTACATCATGTCCACATGACCTTCAAAAAGGAAATGTGTTGGCTTGGGCTGATTTCCTGCCAGGCATGGTTGGTAGAGTTAAAGTGGACCACAAGAGTAAATTCTGCTCAGGTAAATATGTAAACTTTTTTTCCTATCTGTGTCTATCAATACAAGTGTTATTGTCATTTATCATGTTTCCATTTATCTACCATTTATCTGCCATGCAGACTGCCCACCCTTGGAGGCATCTTCACCACATTTGCACACGTTGACCAGTGATCTTAAGCCAGGTTCAAGGATCAGTCTGTATTGTGACCCAGGATACCAGATTGTAGGCAGTTCTGAACAACAGTGCCTGAATCTAGGAGAATGGGATCAACCACAGCCAAGATGTGAAAGTTAGTATCATATTCACCAGATTGGTGGAATATCACAGAAATGAGTGTGGATTGGGGCCTCAGACTCTATATAGTTCAGTAATGTTGGAGGCTTTTTTGGATTTGATAGATATTTGTGAGCAGTAGAAATTTATGTTAATATTAGCAGATGTTCATGGTTAAATACATGATAAATAATGCTTAAAACCAACAGTATGCAGAACAGTAAGAATCTATTTTTTAAAAAAGCTGAAATAATCATTTTCCAGAAACGACTGTAAAAATATGTGCTGCAGTAGGATGAATATCTTTTAAAGGTTTTTTTTTTTTTATTTTTCTAGTTTGAGGGCCTGTTTACACCAGAACACAGAGTGAAAAACCCATGTTCCTTGCACATTTCCAGCACTGCACTGGGTGTGCAATCTGCTGCTGGTGTCATTGCATTCTTAATGACACCCTAAACACAGATTGCAACTGCAGTGCATTTTCCTGCACTGGATTACATTGTACAGCAGTACTATGCAATCTGATTGCAGTGCGTTTTTAAAACTAGTACATGCACTACTTTTGGTGCGATCCAGTGTGAATTCAACCCATTCAAATTAATGGGCTTAAAATTGCACCACACTGAATCGAACAGAAATTGTACAGGAACTTGGACCTCATTCCTGTGCAATTCAGGTATGAACTGGTCCCTGCTGCAGCAGGGTGACATTACTGTCTGAGACATTTGTGAAGACAGCCAAACCAAACACTGCATAGACACTAGTGTTTACATGATTGTGTGATCTCTCAGCTAGCAGTTCAGTCCAGAAAATAGATGCTGAACCTGGATGATTCCAGAATAAAGATGATGACATCAGATGATATAATGGTCTTGTATAGATTTTTGGAGGGAACTCATGCTTATTTTTCTCTAATTTTTTTGCATGGGGCTCCCCTGTAAAATCCAATGCCAGACCTGATGGGTGGACCTCATGCTGTCATTTTTTGCATGGTGTCCTGCTTAAAATTCATACCAGACCTAAAGGGTCTAGAAATAATTAAGGGTGGAAACCACACACAATTTCTAAACTATCCCTGGCTTCTTTGCTTACAAAACTGGGGTCCCCCAGTCAAGTAAGTGAATGCAGTCGGTGATGTCACTGGTTGTTAAGGACTTGACTGTGCCTTAGTCTGAAAGTCCGAACAGCCAAGGTTTGGTCTAAATGTTTGTGGTAAATGTGGAAAGAAAAATGCCTTATATTTGTGGTTATTGGGAGGAAAAGCTGTCCAGGATCAGTGGAAGAAAGAAAATGCTTGACTTTGGTGGTAAATCCGGAGAAAGAATTCTGCAGCTGGAGGTAGAGGTGGCACTCAATCTTAGTGGGGGGAGGGGGGCATTGCTGCTTAGTCTTGGGGAGGGGTTGGTACTCTGTGGGGGAAAAGAGTGGGCCCCAGTATTTTGGGGAAGAGGAGGGGCACTAGTACTCTGGAGGGAGAAGGAGGCACTGGTGATTTCTGAGGTTAGGGTGGGGGAACACTGGTGTCTGTGGGGTCATTAGTACTCAGTGAATTTCTTGCCTATCTATGCTCTGCTTTCTGCCCCACTGTTCCCTTCTCCTGGAAGTCTGGTGCTCATGTCTGGCATGAGATCACACTGTCTGACAGATCAGCAAAGTAGTTGAAGTTAGGTGCAGAAATAAGCGTTCCAGCATTCAGCTTGCACAGTGTCACAGTCCACATAGTTGGAATGCGGAACTATCGGGAGCCATGAGAATACCCATATAGCTTGAATTAATGGTAGTAGACGGATCCTTGCAATTCACTTTTGAGCCTGGATACATGATGATTGTGATCATTTTGTAAATACACTGCTCAAAAAAAGTAAAGGAACGCTTTTTATTCTAATGCTGCAAAAAGCTGCCAGAGACTACAGACATGCAAAAGGAAATGCACAACATTGTTTATTTGCCCATGGGACCTTAAATAAGGCACGTCAACAACATACAAATTAATTAGATATAAAATGAGTTTATTGGTCTATACATAAAAATCTTAGTACATGCATGAGACATTGATTACAAATAGAAAACTGATTTACTACATTGCTCAAAAAAAATAAAGGAACACTTTTTAATCAGAGTATAGCATCAAGTCAATTAAACTCCTGGGATATTGATCTAGTCAGTTAAGTAGCAGAGTGGGTTGTTAATCAGTTTTGGCTGATTTGGTGTTAATGAAATTAACAACAGGTGCACTAGATGGGCAACAGTGAGACGGCTCCCAAAACTGACATTTTTTTTTCTCTACTCATCTTTTCTGACTGTTTTTCACTAGTTTTGCATTTGGCTAGGGTCAGTATCACTACTGGTAGCATAGACGATACCTGGACCCTACAGAGGTTGCACAGGCAGTCCAATCTCTCCAGGATGGCACATCAATATGTGCCATTGCTAGAAAATTTGTTGTGTCTCTCAGCACAGTCTCAAGAGCATGGAGGAGATTCCAGGAGACAGACAGTTACTCTAGGAGAGCTGGACAGGGCCGTAGAAAGTCCTTAACTCATCAGCAGGACCGGTGTCTGTTCCTTTGTGCAAGGAGGAACAGGATGAGCACTGCAAGAGCCCTACAGAATGACCTCCAGTAGGCCACTGGTGTGAATGTCTCTGACCAAACAATCAGAAACAGACTTCATGAGGGTGGCCTGAGGGCCCTACATCCTCTAGTGGGCCCTGTGCTCACTACCTGGCATCATAGAGCTCGATTCGCATTTGCCATTGAACACCATAATTGGCAGGTCCACCACTGGCTTCCTGTGCTTTTCACAGATGAGAGCAGGCTCACCCTGAGCACATGTGGCAGACATGAAAGGGTCATGCCATGGAGAATGTTATGCTGCTTGTAACATCATTCAGCATGGCCGTTTTGATGGGGGGGTCAGTGATGATCTGGGGAGGCATATCCATGGAGGGATGCACAGACCTCTACAGACTAGACAATGGCACCCTGACTGCCATTAGGTATTAAAATGAAATCCTTGGACCCATTGTTGGACCCTAAGCTGGTGCAGTGGGTCCTGGGTTCCTCCTGGTGCATGACAATGTGGCAAAACTATGTTCCTGGAGGATGAAGGAATTAATACCATTGAATGGCCTCCACGCTCGCCTGACCTAAATCCAATAGAACACCTCTGGGATATCATGTTTCGGTCCATCCAACACCTCCAGGTTGCAGCTCAGACTGTCCAGGAGCTCAGTGGTGCCCTGGCCCAGATCTGGGAGGAAATACTCCAGGACACCATCCGTCATCTCATTAGGAGCATGCCCCGACATTGTCAGGCATGCATACAAGCACGTTGGGGCCATACAAACTACTGAGTACCATTTTGAGTTGCTGCAATGAAATTTCAGCAAAATGGACTAGCCTGCTGAATAATGTTTTTGCTTTGATTTTCGATGGTGTCTTTGAATTCAGTCCTCTGTAGGTTGATCATTTTCATTTCCATCAAATGACAGGGCATCCTTACGCTCCTAACACATTACCCAGTCCATATCAGTATAGATATCCAGCATGATATTTTTCCCCATTGAGCTCTGATGTGTTTTCAAAGTGTTCCTTTATTTGTTTTGAGCAGTGTATATTTACAAGAACCCAATTACCTGTGCTGAAAATGTCATACATTTCTGCTTCATTTTTAATGATGTGTCAGTTTTATTTTGTTGCTCGATAAATCCTAATTTCCCTAAGGGATCAGCTGTGGAAAACCTCCTCATTTGAGAAATGGCATTAACAGTGATGAAGATTTCTTTGCTGGAAGCACGGTGACCTATCAGTGTAACAGTGGATACTACCTCCTGGGAGACTCCCGGATGTTTTGTACAGATAATGGAAGCTGGGTTGGCACTTCACCTAAATGTCTTGGTATGTTCCACTTTGCTTGTTTTTCTTTGTAGTAGATATATGTACAATGGTGATACCCACCATTAACACATAGACACGGAGGTAAAACGAGTAAGTGATGGTAATTGAGAGCTGTCTATCACACTCAGAGAATCTCAGTGTCTTTATCTGGACCACGCCACAAAGGAACTTCATAGTTTGTCAACATAAACTTAAAGTATAACTACATTGCATCTGAGCATCACAAACCAAAAACGTATTTAATGAATTGATAATATTAAAAGCAAACTTTCCCATTCATCCATGTGTCCATGCTTTATTTTACTGAGAAATCACTTAGAAAAACACCCCCTAGCATTTCTGGCCATGGCTGTCTTGAATAAGGGCAGATGATTCATGTAGCATTGACTTCCTGAAATCAACATGTCCTTAGTTCAGGCATGCAGACAGAATGGTATGGTTAGCTGTGAAAACCCCTGCTCTACTCCTGAGGACTCCTGGGTTATATTACATCATTTGTCTAGGCATGGAAACCAGGAAGTAACTGAAGAAATGTAAAAAAAAAGTTTAAAACAAAAAAATATGATATACTTTTATATGTATTTATTAATGCTAGCAGCATAAGGATTAAAAAATAGTCAATGTTGATTGAGAGAGTGAAGTTCTGCTTTAAAAAATATGTAAACTGAATTACTAAAATCTTCTATTCTGTATGCCTTAAGCATGTTAATGTAATTTCAAAAGTCATTTTCAATATTTTTAAATCTGCTGCTAATCCTGCTGTTAAGGTACTTGTTCAGGCATCTTTAGGGGGACAGTACTCTGTTCCTCTCTCCCAACTGATCTAATGCCACCCTGTCACACATTCTCCTACTGACCAAAAGCACATACATCTAGACAGGAGGTGAATGCAAAGAGGTTTCAAGAGATGAACAGCCTCCAAATGCAACTAATTATTTAAGAAAAAGGGAAACACAAAATATAGTACTTTTGCAAACCTAATGTCCTTCCTTTATGGTTGACATCTTATATTGGCAGTGGTCACCATCACTGGGACATACCAAAAGATATCAAGACTCACCACTGAGCCATTTTACCAGTGTCTGAGAAGTGCCATGCAAAAAAACCAGTGGTCCAAACTACATGATGGGGGCATCACAGTAAGGGAATCATGAAGTATTGTGCTGCAAGAGACGTGCAATATTGAACCATATGATATTTCAAGCCCCACTATGGGCTGCTGTAAAATTTAACAACACTGTAGCCCCTTCTCCCCACCCTCTGACACACTGCATGGCTTAAATGTTTGTTTTGTCTAGGGGATGAGGAATACTGTGAATTACCTACCTTATTATTTGCTCCAACAGGCTTCCTCCAAATTGTATGACTGGTCTGATAAAGCCTCCTCTTTGCTATTCGACCGGTTGCAGTTGTCCAACATCATCACATGCAATGCAGAAACAGCAGTCCTGCATTGTACGTGAGTACCCTAAGAACCCGCCCATAAACTTGCACTGTAAGAGAAAAGCGAAGAGTACATTGGGAGAAAAGAATAAAATAATTCACCTTATTCAGCAATCTTTAGACAAAACAAGCGTTTAACTGACGCAGTGATTTGGGGGGTGGGGGAGAAGGGAGCTATATTTTAAACCAGCAAAGAGTTTGCCTTTAAGAAAATGTTGACCAATTTTTCATTGCACATATATGCAATTTATTTCCAGGCAAACAAGTAACAGCTAAATAAAAACACTGTACTTATCAATCATGGTTTTGCTTTTGACATGAAAGTTCTTTGAATTAATTCATCACCGGATGACTGGGCTAAAAATGATTACAATACACATACTGTAGAACAAAACTGGGCTTATTTATGGAAAATTAAACCTACAGTCTGGTTGCTGTGTCACGAGCCATGATTTTTATTTGCACTGCTATTATTAATGACCCTTCTTGTCTATTTTTTCTTGAAGTATGAAATTACCGGTTTGTAGAAAAAAAATCCCACTTGTTTTTCAATGTTTTTGTCTGTTGCTTAAATATTACCTAGAAATAAAATGTTACACCTGTAAAGCAAAAAGCCATTTTGATGATGTTAGATGATGCCTGGAGAAGTTTTCTTGAATCCAGTAACTTGTTTAAAAATAACCAGTAACTTCATATAAATAAGTAATTTCATTGTTATTATGTATTCTTTTTCTTGAAGATGTTGATGAATGCGCAGTTGGATCGGATTGTGATAAACATGCGTCATGTACAAATACTGATGGCTCCTACATATGTACCTGTATCCCTCCTTATACTGGTGATGGAAAAATGTGTTTAGGTAACTACAAAATAATAGGGTGGGCTATACTGTTTTTTGGGGGGTTTTTTTTAGAAACGTAGGAACATAAAAAAAGCAAAAAAACAAGTTGTCCATTGAGTCTGCCCCATTTTCTTTTTATTTATATATGGTTTTGTTTTTTGTTTTGTTTTCACTTTTGTTGTCTAGATTAGAGTATAGATCTATGTCTGTTCCTGTTACTGTTAACTGACTCACTACCTCTGCTGGAAGTCTATTCCAAGCATCAGCTATGTTTATGGTAAAAAAATACTTTCTAAGATTAGTTTTGAAGTTTCTTATGGCTAGTTTGAAGTCATGTCCCAGTGTTCTTGAGCTTCATATTAAAAAAACTACCCTCCTGAAACTTATTTACCCCCTTATTGAAAGGTTTTCATCATGTCTTCCCTTTCCCTTCTTTCTTTTAACTGTACATATTGGGGTTGATTTACTAAACCTGGAGACTGCAAAATCTGGTGCAGCTCTGCACAGAAACCAATCAGCTTCCAGCTTTTTTATTTTTTTTTATTTGGTCAAGGCTTAAAGGGGAACTTTACCTAAAACAACTTGATAAAAAATAATGTTCTTTAGCAAGGAACATACATTCCACATTATTAATTATGGTACCAAAATAAGTGTGGTGTAAATTACCTTCAGCATCACTCCTGTTTCTTCTTGCTGCCATTTTGCTGAAGCCCAGAGCCCCTGAACAATAGGAAATCATAAATCGAACTAAATCCATCCATTTACTGGTTTAAAAAAAAAGTTACATTCTGGGAATGCCGGGATTGCTAACTGTCACATTTGCTTGTGTCATCAACCAAACTGTCAAACCATCAAATGGCTGGTGTCATCATGTACAGCACCATGGTAGTTGCAGATCAAACAGAAGCAGCTTCCTTGACTGAAAAGGATAAAAGGGTTTAATTTTGTTTTAGGCTGTCAGCATATTAATCATTACAGATTCTGTAGTGCCAAAAAATGCCTAAAAATGGAGCATGTGCAGAGCAGGGTGAGACAGCGTGCCTTGGTGCCGAACATAGGCAAATTAGCGGCCCCACTGGACTGGACTTTTTTCCATGGGGCCACTAATTTGCGTACCTGTCTTTGTGCTGGGAGCACACCGCACGGCACGCTCCCAGCACAAAGGCTGGGGTGTCAGTGAAGGCCCCGGGTCCCGTTCTAACAATCGGGACCCAGAACTCCCGATTCCAGGTCACATGATTGCTGTGGAAGCCTCTGATTGGATATCACAGTGAAGCCCACCCCCCTTGTTTTTTCTCTCTAAATGGAGCAGAGAGATATATTGTATCTGTCCTTTCACAGAGAAAAAATAAAAAAAAAAAACAATTAAAAAAATAAAATAAAAAATAAATAAAAATACCTAGATCAAGGTTTGATCTGGTCAGTGCCAGGGTTAGTGTCAAGGGTCACTTTTTTTGTCAGGATTTTTTAATTTTTTATTTTTAAATTAGTATCAGTGTCAGTTAGTGGCAGGATAAAAAACTAAAAGTGAAATGTGCACAATTGTTTCTGGGTTGTACTAAGGGTACAAACAACAACTGACATACAAATGTGGTATCAATGTGATCGTCAGCAGCAGACAAAATTATTTTGGGTTGTTCTTTGGTGCTTGTTTGATAAATGTTCACGAAAACCTTGCATCCTCTACAGATAGAATCTGGCTAAATCATACCATGTGAAAAAATGATTGGAAAGGAATTTCCTTATTAATTTGATGTGGTTTCTCACAGCCAGTGCTAGGGTTGTCTGCTCACTGAAAGAAGTCCATGCTCAGCTATGTATCGTTTACACAATCATATTTTATAAGACTAGCCACAGACATGCAATCTTTTAAAAGATCCTTTCATTTACATGCACAATTGTTTCAGGGTAGGTATGCATGTTCATAGACTGTATAGTCAACCCTGGGCCTGGATTTTTTATCAGGAATATCATAGCAGTCATTTAGTCATACCCATTCCATATTATTAGTTTGTTTCCCACAAGACTTGTCAATGAGGAATTGTATGCAGAGTTCACTGTATGTTCATTAACATACTTTGTACCCAGGTTGAAGAATAGCCTTCTCCTGAATAATATATGAGTAGTTTAAGCAACATCAGTCCCTCCAGTCTGCTAATGTTGGTTTGTAGATAAAAAGAGTCAAGATACATTTTTACAAAATGGTCCAGGGATGGCCAGTGCATCCAAGATGCTTTGTCCCATATTAACTGCCAACAAATCTTGGTCAGCTTTTAACCCAGTGGCTTAACTCTTTGTAAGAAAATGATTGTTACTGTCAAATTATGAGAAGGCTTTCACATGCGGGGTTGATTTACTAAGTGTGCAAAATCTGGTACAGCTGTGCATGGTAGCCAAACAGATTCTAACTTCTGCTTGTTTAATTAAGCCTTGAAAAAAAACCTGGAAGCTGGTTTCTATTCAGAGCTGCACCAGATGTTACACTCTCCAATTTTAGTAAATCCACCCCATGGTGTTCCTTAATATGTGTGTGTGTGTCTGTGTGTATATGTGCGAAATGTGAACTCCAAAAAAATGCAATTCCATTTTTATTTTAGAACCTCTGAAGTGTAAAGACCCTGGTGAATTTGAAAACGGTAACATTACTGGTACAGAGTTTGGTGTCGGGAGTGAACTGACCTTTGCTTGCAATGAGGGTTACATCCTGGTTGGCATAGACAAGGTGATATGCTTGGAGTCTGGTAACTGGAATGCTGAAATACCACACTGCCAAGGTAGATAATAATTTTGACTTGCATAGGTAAAAAGTATAAAAAGGCATGTCAGCCCACCCAAAACTGGCATTTCTTTTTTGGAAGATGCTGAAAAAGTAAACCATCGGTGTCTCGGTGACATTGTTGTTATGGATGCCTAGATTTTGTTCTGGTTCTGCATACCTGCTGTGGTCATTGTGAAGGGTTGCCATGCTCTCTTCCTGATTTTCTAAAATGTACTTTATAATATGGAGAATATTACAGTACATGCTGGAACACACAGAGGTGGGTGGGAACAATCAAACATCCCAGGTAAAAAGAAAGCGTTTGGACTAAGGAAGATATCACTGTTACAATATCTAAGATATAAGCAGCCATGGACTGTTCAGCCACTCAGGATCCAACGATAACTTAAATATCCATTTTTGGTGGAATAACCCTTTAACTCAAACTAAGCCTTATTTTTTGCAAGCAGTTAGGAATCTTTAATGTATAATTGTTAGTTGTTAAGTGCATTTATGTTTTGTGCATACTTAAAACTGTAGTACATGTAAATATAATTGGAAACTATGATGTATTGTGGCCAATATTATTTAAATGTTTTTACACTTATAAACTGATATATTTTTTTTTTCTGTGTGCAAATAATCAATAAATAACCACTTTAGTTTGTGGAGCACGTTGGGCTTTTGAATAAGTTGGTCCAGCAATGCCTTTTCACATAATTTATGTGGGTCCATATAGAGAGCGAGAGAGAGACAGAGAGAGAGCGGGGCACAAAACTATTGGGCATAATACTGTGAGGGAAATTTACAATGACTGGAGCAGCAGGGGCGTATTTATGACAAGGCAAACAAGGCATTTGCCTAGGGCGGCATTTTTTAGAGGGGCAGCACTGCCCCTTGGAAGAAGGGACAAATGCGGCATGGGGACTAGGTGGGATCCAAGAGAGGCTGCTTGATGGTGTATGCAGAGCCTATCATTCCCAGGGATGCAAAGAGCTGTAAAAGTGAGTGTCTTTCTCTCTTTCGCGGTGGGTGGATAGGGGGGTGGGTGTTAGTGGAAGGCCTTCGGGTGGGGGGGGATGGTGCAGGGGTGTTGTTGGTCATTGTCAGGCTCTCTCCGTAGAGGGGGGGGGGGGGGTCTGGTGTTGGTGTCAGGCTCTCTCTCTGCCAAGGAGGAGGGAGGCGTTGGATTTGTCTGTTGCCTAGGGCAGCACAAAACCTAAATACACCACTGTGGAGCAGGCAGAATCTGGAGCAGTTGTATATGGCAACCATTTAGCTTCTTTCCCTTTCAAAGGTTATCTGAACAAGCTGAAGCAGCTGATTAGTTTCTATGTGCAGCTGCTCCAGGTTATGTCTGCTCCAGTTTTTTATACATTCCTGTCACAAGTTATCCTGCAGTTTCTTGTTTGTGTTCTTACCTCCTTGCTGCAGTCCTGTTCCTGATCCCTTCTCATGTGTTTGTCTGTGCTCATCTATGGGCGTCATCTGCTGTCCTCTGGGTTTTATTCCTTCCCTTCCATCACTTCCTGGCCCGCCTCTTTGTTTGCCTGTCTATATAAGACATGCTCAGACTAGGCCACTTTGCCTGAGTTACTTCCTAGTTGTCAGAGCTCCTGTGTGTTACTACTGTCTGAATCCTACATTGACTACTCGTGTACCGACCCCAGCTTCGTTCTCTGACCTTGCTTGTTTTCCGCCTGTCCTTACCTCGGCTAGCCTATCAGATTCCGTTTGTCTCCTCCCATTGTACTCTGCTCCCGTGAGTGGTCTCAACCTCAGCTGGGCGTACCTAGGGGCTGCGACCTGGTCCCAGCTTGCTGCAAGTCCATCCCCACCATCAGGGCCTCTGGTAAAGAAGCAGGCTGGGGCTTAGACTCCACGCCCTGGGGAACCCCAAGTTGAGTATCAACAAGGGCTCACTACCACAGGTGCTGAGAATTCCCCCCAGTAAAAGTGTTAGGGCCAAATGGATCCAATAATGTAGAGGATGGATACTTCCTATTCCATGCTTGTCACTAATATAGGTTGTAAACTGGATCAGTCACAAGCGGTGGAAGTTGAGGTTTACCTTCCTTCCCCTCCTGTGACTTGGGGACATTTGTTTGGGCCCTCCTGGATAAATCTTGACAGTACTGACCTCTTGTGGCTGATCCAGTTTACAACCTTTAAGCACAATTAAGGACATACAGTACATTATACACTCACAGGCCACTTTATTAGGTACACCTTGTTAGTGCCAAGAAAATATCACTCACACCATTACACCACTACCACCGGCCTGAACCATTGATACAATCAGGATGGATCCATGCTTTCATGTTGTTTACACCAGATTCTGACCCTACCATCTGAATGCCGCAGTAACCAGTCTACCCATTCTCCTCTGATCTCTGACATCAACGAGGCATTTTTGTCTACACAACTGCCGCTCGCTGTATATTTTCTCTTTTTTTGGACCATTCTCTGTAAACCCTAGAAATTGTTGTGCGTGAAAATCCTGGTAGATCAGCAGTTTTAGAAATAGTCAGCCCAGCCCGTATGGCACCAACAACCATGCCACATTCAAAGTCACTTATATCCCCTTTCTCCCCATTCTGATGCTCGGTTTGAACTTCAGCAAGTTGTCTTCACCACGCCTACATGCCTAAAGGCATTGAGTTGCTGTCATGTGTTTGGCTGGTTAGCAATTTGTGTTACCAAGCAATTGAACAGGTGTACCTAACAGAGTGGCCAATGAGTGTATTAGTAACAAACATGGAACAGGGAAATATGCATCCTGTACATCAGGGGTCTCCAAACTGTGGCCCACGAGCCAAATCCTGCCCTTTGCTATCCTTTATCCAGCCCTTGAGGCACTATTCCTCCCTCTGATACCAATGATGGAGCACTGTTCCTCCACTGATACCAATGATGGGGCACTATTCCTCCCACTGACACCAATGATGAGACAGTCTTCCTCCCATTGACTCTTCCTCCCCATTGATACCAATGATGGGGCACTATGCCTCCCACTGACATCAATGATGGGACACTCTTCCTCCCATACCAATGATACCAATGATGGGGCACTATGCCTCCCACTGACACCAATGATGGGGCACTATTCCTCCCACTGACACCAATAACAGGGCAACATTCCTCCAACAAAGTCCGAGTTTTTGTTTATTCCCACTGAATCCAGGATATTTTCTACCCCCACCGGCCACAACCCGACCCCCCTAAAGTCTGAAGGAGAGTAAACCAGCCCTTTGTTAAGAAAGTTTGGAGACTTCTGCTCTACATTATTGGATCAGTTTGACCCAATAACACTTCTCTGTATTATCAATATGATATCTTGGAAATAATCTGACAATCTTCCTGGAGGAATATGGTCCACTGGGTTCTGTGTCACCTGCAGTGTTGTATTTCATTTTTTTGCTGCCCTAGGCAACCCAAAAATTGCCCCCCCCCCCTCCCAGACAATTAGAGACCCTCCAGCAGGGCAATCAGACACCCACCAACAGGACAATTGGACACCCTCCAGCAGGACAATTGGACATACTCCAGCAGGACAATTGGACACCCTCCAGCAGGACAAATGGACACCCTCCAGCAGCCCCCAGCCTTTCGCTTCCTCCTCAATTCCTGCACTCACCGGGACAGCTCACAGAATGACATCCTCTGGGCTGCCTCTTGTGGATTCCATCTCCTGCTGTTATTCTGCCTCCACTGCAGCCATGTTTAGGCAAAATCCTTGTTTGCCTCATGGCATATACGCCCCTGGTCTCCTGCATTCTTCCCATGGGTTAAGTTTATCCTCATATGGTTCTGTATACTCCCATATGGTCTGATGAAAAGACTGGGTGTGATAAAAATGTAACATATAGCCACCACCTTGCAATCAAAACATTGATAAATTCTGCAAGATAAAGTCTGCCACTCTGCTGACTTACATGAAAGAGTGCTTATAATGCTAAAGGAAAAGTTCAAAACGCTAAAGGAGAAGTTCACATGATGATAATGCTGTTAACAATAACAAAACTTATGTATGTATATTATATATCTTATATAATTATGTATTTTATAAAATCCTAAATAAAGATATATTTTTTTCTAAATTATATATATTTAGAGAAAGAGAGAGAGAGAGAGAGAGAGAGAGAGAGAGAGAGAGACATTAAAAATCTCCTTTATGAACCATGGAGGGAAACCTAATTTCAGTTAATGCATAGAGAATATTACTCATTCAATTTTTTTTCATAAAATTGAGACTTCCAATCTGTTGCCCCAAATGTGAATTGGAGGGTGGCAAATTAACACATGACCTATGGGACTACATCAGTGTCTCGCAATTCTGGGAAATTATTTCTTAATGCATTTGATTTTACCACATTACCTAAGAGTCGATGTATATGTCTGTTTGGTTACTGGTCTCCTCTGCCACACCTCCAAAACATACAATCCAGTGGATTCACATGGTTTTCGTTTAGCCAAGAGAAAATTAATGGCCAAGTGGCCTATACCACCCACAATAACGGGCCAAATTTTAGATATCCAGAGCATCTTAAAACATGCATTGAGGAGGACAAGCATATTGACAAATTATTTAATAAATAGAAACTTTTTATATTACAAGTTTGCAGTGATCGAATAGTTGACACCTTAGTCAAACCCTTCCTATACTCAAAATGGTGTGCAGAAGGAATACGGGATGGAAAGCTGGGACATCTCTGACTACGTATCTCATCTGTATATGATGATGATGAACAATAGCTGGCAGACATACAGTACATTCACTTTTCTGTTTTTGTATTCAGTTTCTTTTATCTTACACTTCTGAAGTTGCAACTCCTTCTTTCTGTTCTGTTCGTTCAGTAGAAGCATCTCTGGAGACATATAATTTAACTATCCTACACTATGTCACAGAACAATTTCTTTGTTTTGTTTGTAAATGTGAAAAAAGCAATAAAATATTTGTAAAAAATTCCCTTTATTCTTATCCCTCACATATCCTCTAAATTTCCCTATGGATACAATTTATGTGTGCTGCTGGTCACTTTTCCTGGATCTTCACATCTATGAATCATACAGTCTTAGTGTTTTTCTAGCTGTTAGAAGTAGTCAGTGCTATTTTTTATTTTTTTTCATAGGCAGTCTTTTTCTCTGTGTCAGCCAGGGCCATACGTATTGCATGTACATTTCTATTCTTTATGAAACCCTTTGGTTCACATTTTTGCTTGTATTCATTTATATAGCTGTGTCCTGTGATCAAACGCCAGTTCCAGAACATGGCAGCATTTTGGGCTCCAATTTCACTTATGGAAAAAAAGTTATATTCAGGTAAACTGCTTCTTTATAGCATATATCTTGAAATTTGATATCCACAACAGCACAAAGAAAAATGTAGGATTTAGGAAGAGGTGGGACTTTATCTGTTGAAATGTGTTGTCTAAATCATTGGTATATTCCAACAAATGTGACTAGCACTTGTATCTTACACTATACAGATGCAATGATGGCTACATCCTAACTGGTCATGAAGAGAGTACGTGCCTTGCTGATGGTTCCTGGAGTCATGGAGCACCATCCTGTGAATCAGTCAAATGCCCTAAACCAAAGGAAATAGCTTTTGGAAATGTTACCATTAGTGGCTTAACATTTCAGTCAACTGCATCATATAAGTGTGACACAGGATACAGGTAATACACAAGATAAAATGGATGAAGAAAACATTACAAATATATTCCTTAAAGCAGTATCCCAAAAGCAAACATTTAATATATTACAGCTTATTACTTCTTATATGTGATGCCTGCATTAGTTTTCTATTTTATGCTTTCTTTCTCCTATTTTCATGCGGTGATCCAGCCAGTAAGTCTGTTATTTTTTTAAAGAACAAGCGCTCTTCCAGATGTATTGGTCTACAGGGATGGGACTAACCATTCAACACTTACAGGGGTGCTTACAATGATCAGTTATATTTATTTATGTAAAACCTAAAATGTTTTCTGCAACTGAATATAAAGTGTTAGCTGGAGTTTGGCTTCAGATTGTTAGTGTTTTTAAATCTGCTAGTACATTTATTACCACTCTTCTTCCAAGCTGACAATGCTGCTGTCTGCTGTGCCCCCTGTGCTACTTCAGCCAGGAGGTGTGTTACTGGCCAGATCACCAGGTGAAAACAGAGGGAGAAAAGATGGTACCCTTCCTGTTTGGCAACTGATAGACAGGAGTAGATGGGATCAGGCCAGCAGTGTGGTGTGCAGGCCAGCTCTGAGTGGCAGTTGGGGATGTGGCTGTGCCTCCCTCAGACAGCTGACAGGCCAGGAACAGGTAGGGTCAGATTAGCTGTGAATGAAAACTAGTTGGAAATGCAGCTGTGCTTCTGTTCCTTTGACAGACAGGAGCAATCCTCTCCCTGTAGATACTCTGTCTGCATCTTGTAGCTCCATCCTTGGACTGTTGAAAAATCCAATCGGAACTCTAGCCAGAAAATACAGTTCCCAGCATTCTCTCTGCTCTCCAAGCAGTTCAGAAAGGGCAGTGTGCACATCACCCCCATCTTGTGGCAAAAAGGGAACTGCTTAATTTAACTCTCACATTACAGTCATCAAACGTCCTACAAACGTTAATAACAGAAAACCTAGTTACATATGAAAAGCACTGTGGAATAAGTCATTGTTATACAGAAAATTCTGAAACAGTTTGTGAAAGGCTTCATTGCTGATATTGGGGGCAAAGTTTGGAAGAATGTTCCCAAGTGTGCCAATGGAATTGAATCGTTTCTAAAGCAAAGAATTTGAACAAGGCAGTATAAAAACATTTTTTCAGCTGAAGCCACTGATTTCCTCAACTTTTCTTGTTTTGATTTAATTAACATAATTTTTTCTTAGCCTTCAGGGTCCATCAACTCTGGTGTGTGAATCTTTAGGGAAATGGAGTAATGATGCTCCAAACTGCAAGCTTTTATCCTGTGGACTTCCTCCAGTTGTTAAAGATGCTATCTCCAAAGGAAAAGACTTCATGTTTGGAAATCTAGTGACCTACACTTGCAAAGAAGGGTAGGAAAATCAGGATTTACTAGACATTGTTTTTTTATGTAAACTTTCCTGTCTAGGATCAATACATAAAGCTTTTCAGAGTCTGAACCTGTAAGGGATTTTTAAAAGTGTCTTAGATATCAGTTTCATGCAGCATATGAAAACTGTTGTTTCATTTATTTATACAGGTACACTTTATTTGGTCCAGAAACTATAAGCTGCCTGTCTACTGGAAAATGGGGCAATAACATTCCACAATGCATGGCTGTATCATGTGATGAGCCCCCAAATGTGAACTATGCTTCCTCAGACAGTGCACATCGTCTGTATGGAGATACTGCATATTATTACTGCTATGACGGGTACAGTATGGGTGATAACAGTAAAATGCTTTGCAATGCACAAGGAAAGTGGGTACCACCTGATGGTAAAGTAATACCCCATTGCATAGCTGATTTCTGTGAAAAGCCCTTGGAGGTTCCATATGGTATTCTAGAATCTATCAGCAAAGCAAAGTTTGTATCTGGTACAACAGTGAGTTATAAATGCATGGAAGGCTTTGTATTAAACACAACAGGCAAAATTGAGTGCCTGCGAGGTGGAGAATGGAACCCATCACCATCCACTATTCATTGTATACCTGTCCGCTGTGGAGAACCACCTAGGATGAAAAATGGTTATGTCATTGGAAACAATTACAGCTTCGATGCTGTAGTAGCCTACAGCTGTAACAAAGGATATTACATAAAAGGGGAAAAGAAACGAACCTGTCAAGCCTCTGGAGAATGGAGTGGTCGTTTGCCAACTTGCCATCCAGTATCCTGTGGTCAGCCACCAGAACTTGAAAATGGAGTCATAGAGGTGTGTGTGTTCACTTCTGATTATTGAAGCTCATTGTGTTGTTAATACTGTGTATTAATGTTTATATTTATGTTTATGATAAACTTACACTTATCAAAATGACCATCCTTACAGGACGAATGCACTTTTGAAATGAAATGGTGCCCCATCATTAGTGTCAGTGTGTGAGGAATAGTGCCCGATCATTGGTATCAGTGGGAGGAATCATGCCCCATCATTGGTGTCAGTGGGAGGAATCGTGCCCCATCATTGGTGTCAGGGGGAGGAATAGTGCCCCATCATTGGTATCAGTGGAAGGAAGTGCCCCATCATTAGTGTCAGTGGGAAGAATAGTGCCCCATCATTGGTGTCAGTGGGAGGAATAGTGCCCCATCTTTGGTGTCAGTGGGAGGAAGTGCCCCATCATTGGTGTCAGTGGTTGGAATCGTGCCCCATCATTGGTGTCAGGGGGAGGAATAGTGCCCCATCATTGGTATCAGTGGAAGGAAGTGCCCCATCATTGGTATCAGTGGGAGGAATAGTGTCCCATAATTGGTGTCAGTGGGAGGAATAGTGCCCCATCATTGGTGTCAGTGGGAGGCCCAGAGGCATAGTGCCCCATCATTGGTGTCAGTGGAATAGTGCCCCATCATTGGTGTCAGTGGGAGGAAAAGTGCTCCCTCATTGGTTTCAGTGACACCAATGAGGGGGCACTATTCCTCCCACACTGACACTAATGATAGGGCACTATTACTCCCACTGACACCAATTATACTTACATCGCCGTGCCGCCCCCCTGAAAAGTGCCGCCCTAGGCAAACGCCTTGTTTGCCTCGTGGCAAACACGCCCCTGGGACAAGTGAGGGGTAGTGGGACAGGAGGAGCGCAGTGGGACAAGTGAGGGGCAGTGGGACAGGAGGAGCGCAGAGGGACAGGTAGGTGGCAGCGTGACGGGGAGGCATGGGACAGGATCAGGGCAGTGAGACAGGAGATGCGCAGCGGGACAGGAGAAGCACAGAAGGATAGCTGAGAGGCAGTGGGACAGGTGGGGGGCAGCGTGACAGGGGGCATGGGACAGTATCGGGGCAGCTGGACAGGAGGAGCGAAGAGGGACAGGTAGGGGCAGCGTGACGTGGGGGGCATGGGCCAGGATTGGGGCAGCGGGACAGGAGAAGTGCAGAAGGACAGGTGAGGGGCAGTGGAGCGTAGAAAGATAGGTGCGGGGCAGCGGGACAGGAGGAGCGCAAAGGGACAGGTGAGGGGCAGTGGGACAGGAGGAGTGCAGTGGGACTGGTGAGGGGCAGTGCGACAGGAGAAGGAACACAGAGGGACAGGAGGAGCGCAGAAGGATAGGTGAGGGGCAGTGGGACAGGTGAGGGACAGTGGGACTGGAGGAGCGCAGAAGGATAGGTGGGGGGCAGTGGGACAGGTGAGGGGCAGTGGGACAGGAGGAGCGCAGTGGGACAGGTGGAGCGCAGAAGGATAGGTGGTGGGCAGTGGGACAGGTGAGGGGCAGTGGGACAGGAGGAGCACAGTGGGACAGGTGAGGGGCAGTGGGACAGGAGGAGCGCAGTGGGACAGGTGACCACCAAATGTGCAGGTGACCACCAAAAGTGGGACCACCAAATGTGCAGGCCGTCCCCGCGTAGACCACAGTTCCGGAAACACCTATCTCCGCCAGTCAGATTAAAGTGAGCAGTCTGACCCGGGACCCAGTACCACCACAGGAGAACTTTATAGGTTGCCTCAAGAATGACTGTATTCAATGAACATTTCGCCACCATCCCCCAGGGCTTACGCCAATCCTCCGCCACAATCGAGACACCCAGATCTTGCTCCCAATGAGAGACATAAGACAGGGGTGATGAGGAGGACCTACTGTTAAGGGAGGCATAAATTACAGAAATGAGACCAGGGGACCTGGGGAATGCTGACAGACATGTTCAGACGTGTTCAAAGGGTGTTTTGCGGTAAGGATATGTAGAGGTAAAACGGAGGGATAAGACCCAGTGGTGCAACTGCAAATACTGATAATATTCCCGTGGCGGGACCCCCCTTGCCTCTCAAAGAGATTCCCATGATGAAAACATACGAGCACTCATAAAATCATGTACAATGACTAAGCCATGGGAGGTGCACCAAGAGAAAGAAGGGGGATGTTCTAGGCCTGGTGGAAATAGAGGATTATGTGTAATCAGCAAAAGAGGTAGAAATGATGATATCAAATTACCCAAATATTTAACAGAATCCCAGGTTCGTAAACTGTAAAGCATGATAGGGCTCAAATCCGGAGGGTGCATCTTAGGCGGGAGCCAAAGCAATGCAGTTAAAGAAAGCAGAGCACAGTTGGGTAATTCCAGGAGTACCCATAATGTGATATCTGTCTTGGCAAGAAGCATAGATAGCTGGGAAATCTGAGCCACCAAGTAGTATCTAGAAATATGTGGAACTCCCAAACCTCCCTGTAATCTATGAGTATACAGAGTGGCTCTAGGCACTCTGGGACGTTTATGAGCCCAAATGAAATGGAGAATCCAGCTTTGCAGTACATGAAGAAAAGACGCAGGGACCTGAATAGGGAGAGTGCGGAAAAAGTACAAAATCTTCGACAAGATAGTCATCTTGACAGCATTTATCCAGCCAATCCAAGATAAAGAAAGAAACTGCCAAGAATGAAGCAGGGAAGTAACAGAGCACAGTAAGGGGTAATAATTAGCCGAAAATAAGGCAGAGTAGGAGGGAGTAAGTGTAACACCAAGATAAGCCAGAGAATGGGATGCCCAATGGTAGGGAAATTGTGTCTGTCAGCCAGGTCGGCAGGGAGCGTAATATTCAATGCCGTGGTTTTAGACAAATTGATGTTAAGGCCAGATATAGTCAAAAAGCAGTCCAATATGACCTGGAGATTGGGGAGAGTGATAAGAGGATTGGTTTAAAACCAAAAGAGCATCATCTGCATAAAAGTTGGCCTTGTATTGAGTGCTGGCATAGGGGACACCAGAAATATCCGGGTGATTTCGAATGGCTGCAGCTAGAGGTTCAAGGGCGAGAACAAAAAAGAGCAGGTGATAATGGGCATCCCTGTCTCGTGCCCCTAAAAAAATAGGAAAAGAGGAGAAAAAGAAACCTGCATATTTAACAGAGGCCGAGGGGGACGAGTATAAAGCTGAGATCCAAGCCAGAAATGCGTCACCAAACCCCCATCTAGACAGCTTATATGTCAAGTACTCCCAAGAAAGCAAATCGAATGAATTATAAATGTCCAGGGATAAAAGGAACCCCGGTATCCTGCGGCGATGCAAAATATGAATGAGATGGATGACTTTACGGATGTTATCAGCAGCTTGTCGTCCTGGAACGAAGCCAACCTGATCTCGATGAATAAGTGAGAGTAGATACTTATTAATTCGGCTGCTCAGAACCTTTCCCAGAATCTTCAAGTCCACATTTAACAGCGAAATTTGTCTAAAAGCTTGCGGTTCAAAGGCATCTTCAGATTTCTTAGGGATCATAGTAATATGCGCCTGAAGAGACTCCAAAGAAAGCCGGGAACCCTGCTTCAAAGAATTGAAAAAGGCCGTCAAGTTAGGAACCAGACGGTGGCAAATTTTTTATAGTAGAGCCCAGAAAACCCATCTGGGCCTGGAACCTTGGAGGCCTTCAAAGATTTGATGGCTTGATAAAGTTCAAATTCAGAGATATCCGCATTCAGGGTATCACGGGCTGCAATGGATAAAGAGGGTAGATGCAGCTCAGCAAAAAAACTATCAGCATGTTCAACGACAAAACTGTTCGGTTTTTGGTAAAGAGAGGACAAAAAATCCACAAATCTATGAGTAATCTTCACAGGGTCCGAGGTAGGTAAGGCCACCGCCCCTCATTCGGAGTTGGACAGGTTTATGCATGTAACCTGGCGAATTAAGCTTTTTGGCCAACTTTGGCCCCGGTTTATTGGCGCATGTATAAAAACCTATGTCCGGCCCAGCTTAAAGCCTTCTCAGCTCGTGTAGTGGAAAGAAGATTAAATTCAGCAGCCACCACATCTTGAGCTGTAGTCAGGCAGGCTTTCCAAGTAGCGTCTACCAAAGCCAATTTCGAGGTCAATTCCAACATCCTCTTCTCTCTGGCCTGTTTCCTGGACGAGGCAATCTGAATCAAGTGACCCCCTAATGGTGGCTTTGTGATCCTCCCACAGAGTGACGGCCGAGGATACAGAGCTCACATTGTCCGTAAAATAGGATTGAATGTGCGAAAGAACCTGGGAGCAAGAAACCTGAGTGGTGAGCAGGGATTCATTGATTCTCCACAGAAAAGAGGGCCGAGCCATACCAGAAAGACACAGTTAAAAGATCAATGGGTCATGATCAGACCAGGGTGAAGTCGAGATGACAATCTTTTGAATTAAAGATAAATGTTGGAAGGAAATGAAAACGTGATCTATTCTACAAAAGCTCAGGTGTGGGGCCGAATAAAAAGTGTATTCCCGCGACGTAGGATGCATTTCTCGCCATACATCAACCAAACCATAAGCTTGTAGAGTATCACGCAATTTAGATTCCTGAGAAAGGTTATGGCTAGGGGTCCCTCCCGTCGGGTAATGGCGATCGACATAGGAATTAAAAGTAACATTTGAATCACACAGCAATAAGAGAATATCACACTGATGGTGCGAAATCACCTTCAACAAGAGAGAAAAAAATTTGTGTTGAAACCTATTTGGCGCATAATAACCCACCAGGGTCACCTCCTGGTCCCAAAGGGTACCCCGGAGGAGCAAATACCTACTGATGGGATCAGCTATTTCCAAATTACAAGTAAACAGCAGATTGCGTCTAAAAGCAATCACCACGCCCCTATGCTTCTCAAGGGCCGAAGCAGAGAAAAAGGTTGGATAATGGTGAGAGAGGTAACGCGGCTCAGAGGATTGAGAAAACCTTGTCTCCTGCAGACAGACTAGGTCCACGTCTTGGGACTTAAGATGATGGAACACTTTAGAACGCTTGGTCGGATAATTAAAACCATGGATATTTTGAGAAAAAATCTTCAAAGGTTTTAAAGCCATACTGAGTCAAGGGAATTCAGCTGCCAAAGTACGCTAGGGATAATGGTCCAATCCTCAAATGCAACCTTACCCCAGGCTGCCCCAGATCTGTGAGAAAAGAAAGAAAAAAAACAGACAAAAAATGAGACAGAAGAAGAAAGTATACACTATAAGATAGAGTAACGAAACCACAATCAGTGGAAATTGCGTCCCAACTGTAAGGACACACATAGGGGGTGGCTCTACCACCGGGCATATGGGTGCGTCATAAACAACAACATAATAAAAAAAAAAAAACCTTCATGGGGAGGGGAAGAAAGGGAGAAGGGGAAGGAAAAAAGGGAAGCGAGCAATAAAGAGAAAAAAAAAAGGGGGGGGGGGAACATAACAAGCAAAAAAAGAAAAGTCAAGTACAGTACCTTAAAAAGTGCATAACATGACACCATAGAATATAAAGAAAATGTAAACATGTACACAAACATATCAGCAAAATAGAAATTAGGCATTCTCAGGTCACGGCCCCAGTAGATAAGGCAGAGGACCAAGAGCCAGGAGGACTCCCAGTATATATAAAAAGGCACAGTAAACCCACCCCCCTCGGTAAAAAAAAAAAAAAAGGGAATCGGTACTGTTCTGTGCAAAACCATTGCACAGAGCAGTTAAGTATAACATAGTTGTTATTTTTTAAAACATAAAAGTCTAGCCTTTAATATCCCTTAAATTGAAATTTGATCTTTCAGCACTATAATAGCCCAAAGCACACTACCACATTTCCTAATAAATGGTTAAAAAAGACATAAAGGGTTATTGACTGTCCTAGTCAAAACCTTGATTAGGATCCCTTTAAAATGTTAGGGGGAATTGAAACAGTCAGTTCATGCAAGCAAATCCACAAGCATTCTGCAACTGAAAGATTATTGCATGGCTGAGTTTTCAGAATTTCAGTGTAGATATCAGAGACCAGAAGGCAGTGTATGCATTTCACCCACATAAAGTAATTTCTGCTAAAAGGGGCAATAGCACAAACTGAGGACAAAGATGTGTTTTCATTTCCACAGTACAAATTTTGTCTGTTGATTTTGTGGAATACATGTTGGGCAAATAGCACTTCCATGAGTTTATATTCCAGTATAATACCTTTATCTGTTTGAATTAAGATCTAATGTTTGCCTGTTTAAATATGTGGAAAGAGTCAACAATTTTGTGGGGTGTATATTTTTTTACATGACAATTTGTTCCAAACTGGGTGATATATGTGTGTTCTCTGTTGGCTACCAGTTTTTGTTCCTTTATTGACATTGGCTACTGGTGTTTCTATGAGCTGGTGTTCTACCATTTATAGAACACTAGGAGGCATAAGCCAAATTTGGAGTATTCAACTCTGTAAAAACAATGGAAATTCTTTTTTATGACCATTATCAAAACAAGTACAGTATATAAGTATTTCTCTAACACCATTACATAACATTTACTAACACAATCTTTTTTTTTCAAATTACAGTAGTATGTTTTTTTTATTTCATATAGTGATTTATCTATAATGTACTGTATGCATTGTGAACCAGCTCTCAGTTATACATTAATAAATGCTTTTCTTTCTACAGAACAAAACTGGAGTTGTGTTTGAGGATGAGGCTATGTATTCCTGCAAGCCTGGATATAAACTAGTTGGCAGCCCTAAAAGAGTATGCCAGTCTAACAAACAGTGGTACAGTGAGTCTGTACCAAGCTGTGTTCTACTGAGCTGTGAAAAACCACCACCTATTAAACATGGATATGTTAATGGAGCAACTATCGATGTTGGTTCAAAAGTTGAATTTATGTGTGATGAGGGATATGAACTTATGGGGATACTAGTTGGACTTGCCAAAAAAAATGGAAAGTGGGATAGAAAAGAAGTGCCCACTTGTGTTCCATCAAAATGTGAAGATCCACCGCTGTCACAAAACCAGCTGGTCTTACAAGAAATAACAAGTGAAATAGGAGTTGTGAAATTTTCTTGTAGAGAGGGCTATGTTCTGCAGGGCTCTTCAGTGTTGCGATGCCTGCCTTCTCAGCTCTGGAATGATACTTTTCCTGTGTGTAAACTTGTAGTCTGTCCTCAACCTCCAGATATTGATTTTGGAGACCCCAATTTTGAAGACCCTGAGTTAATGTCTTCTTTTCATTTTGGTAGCAAGGTGAATTATTCTTGTATGGATGGATTTTTACTTAAAGGAAAAGCTGAAATATCATGTAATGCGGATGGTATATGGAGTCCTGATCTTCCAAGCTGTGTTCCTGTAGAGTGTCCTCAACCAGATGAGATTCTCAATGGAATTGTTGATGTTCAAGGACTTACCTTTCTCAGCTCAGTTCATTACACCTGCAAACCTGGGTTTGAATTAGTGGGAAATAACAAATTAATTTGTGGAACAGATGGTAACTGGATTGGTGAGATACCAGTCTGTAAACCTATTAAATGTCCTCCAGCCAAGGAAATTTCAAATGGCAGAAGTTCCTCCAAAAGTCTTCATTTTGGACAAACTATAACCTACTCATGTAATAAAGGATTTAGGCTTGAAGGACAGCATGTTCTTACTTGTTTGGAAACAGGAGAATGGGATGCTGATACCCCTAGTTGTAAAGAGATATCCTGTGATCCTCCAGAAGCTATTGATAATGGATTTGTAGAAGGAGCTGACTATAGATATGGTGCTGTTATTATTTATAGTTGTATGCCAGGATTTCAGTTGACTGGACCTGCCATACAAACCTGTGAAGATTTGGGCTGGTCCAGTTCTGCTCCAATGTGCGTGCATACAGATTGTGGTCTGCCACCACATATTGATTTTGGTCAGTATACCAAAGTTCAAGAATTTATGTTAAATGAGGATTTAAAGAATGAAATGTTTGATGGTGCAGTAACTACCTGGACTCCAAATAGCAATCACTCACTGACCAGTGAAGTCTCAGATTTCTTATATGGGACGTATATCTTATATACTTGTTACCATGGCTATGAAATTTTGGGCATACCACTTTTAGCTTGTCAGGAGGATGGAACTTGGAATGGAAGTGCCCCTGTGTGTGCACCTTTAGAATGTAGCATACCAGTAGCTCCTGAAAATGGCATGGTACAATACACTGAAACAACACTTGATAGCACTGCACAATACAAATGCAATTCAGGGTATGAACTTATTGGATCAGATAAAAGCTCATGTTTGTCTAGCAAAAAATGGAGTAATGAAGTGCCGCAGTGTGCTATGATCCTATGTAAGGTACCCAACGTCATTTTAAATGGATACACAGAAGCATTAAATAATTCATTTACAAGTGAAGTACATTATAAATGTGACTTGGGCTATAAATTACATGGACCAAGCAAAAGAACATGCCAAGAAAATAAACAGTGGGATGGAGAGGAACCTATCTGCATTCCTGTTTCTTGTGGGCAGCCACCAGCAGTGATAAATAGCCAGGTTTTAGGAAAAGATTATAGTTATGGGAAAGATGTTGAATATAAGTGTCATGAAGGCTACTTGCTTAAAGGAGACAAAAAGAGGACCTGTCTTGAAAATGGACACTGGAGTGGAATAATGCCATCCTGCTCAGAGATTGTATGTGAAAAGCCAAATGCGTTAGATAATGGAGAAGTAACTGGAATGGAATACGGTGTTGGAAAACAAATACATGTTAAATGCAATCAGGGATTTGACCTGAAAGGTGCAGCATTGCTTACTTGTCAGGAAAATGGGACATGGGATGCCCAAGAACCCCTGTGTGAACCAATAGATTGCGGACCTCCAGAAGATATCTCACATGGTTTTCTTAACAGCTCAGGATTTAGTTACAATGAACATGTTTACTATGTTTGTTTCCCTGGTTATGAGATACATGGAACTGCAACACGTCAGTGCTTAGCAAATGGTTTATGGAGTGGAATTCCCCCCACTTGTCTACCTTGTGAATGTCCCAAGCCATCTATTCAAAATGCAGTGGTCATTGGAGAAGATTTTAGCTGTGGACAGTCAATCAGAATTAAATGTCAGGATGGATTCAAACTGCTTGGACTTTCTGAACTCAGCTGTCACTCAGCTGGAAAGTGGAGCTCTGGTTTTCCACTCTGCGGTAAGGTCTCTTGTGGTACTCCACCAACTCTTTCTCATGCCTTTGTCAATGGAAGCAGCTTAATTACTGAGAATGCCATCTCATACAACTGCGAAACTGGATATGTAATGAAGGGATTATCAGATCTCATTTGCACAGAAGAAGGGCAATGGAGGGGACCATATCCCAACTGTCTGTTATTATCTTGTGGACCACCACCTGAAATTCCCAATACTTTGACAACTGGTGACTCCTATACCTATGAAAGCATCATTGAATACCGGTAAGAATAGTTTATATAGGATATTTTTGATTCTCCTACACTGAAATTTGTATGCCAGAAGGTAAAGAAAATAAAGTTCATTTGGCTTTCCTTACATTTAAACAACTATAGTCTTATTTACAAGGCAGGGGTATGACCACACCACACAAACTCTGCACATTTGTAAATGTGATCTGTGCTCTGCTGTTGTAGGACTGTGAAGCTGGCAGAGTACAATAAAATTAATAAATATTATGTGGAAAAAAAAGCTGGGTAGAGTCCCCAGTCATGTGACCTATCAAATTCCAATCACAGAGCTCTGACTGCTCTGTTAAGCAAAGAGAACTCTGGGGGTGGGGATTGTGTTGTTGACTACATACTTCTGCCTGTTTTTTTGAATGAGGAGAGCCACGGTTTATGTGCACAGTCTTTTTTATGCCAGTTAAGTCAAATAATGCTGGAGAGTACAAAAATTGGAAGCTGATCTTAAGAGAGTTTTCATTTATATAACACAAACATGCTTGGCAGGGCTGTACTTAGATATCATGCTGCCCAAAGAAATACCTGAATGACTAAGCCCTTTTGCAGAAGCAATGCTCTAATATATTGTGCAATATTTTTTGTAAAAATAAATACTAAAATATTCCAGGGAGTAAAGGGAAGTTCCACCACCAGGCTGACAGAAGATGGTCACTCACCTATTATGATGGATCTTTAAATACCAAGGTCTATAAATGCTTGTTACCCTTTAAGAGCTGGGATCAACCCAAGGTGACTAGCACTCTGCTGTTCTTAATCACTCAATGTAAGGCAGCTCCAGCATTTCAACATTCCAATGTTGCCCATACATAATATAAGAAACGAAAAAACTTATAGTGCTCTCTGTATTAACTCCAAAATACTTTATTCGCTGCTTTTCTGGAACTGCACTCACAATGATACATGTAAGCAGGCTCATCAATACACAGAGTGGTCTTGTATCCCACAGCTCACTGCTCCCTCTGATGTCCAAAAGACAAGGAGAGCTCGGGTGCAAGTAGTACACTGCTCTACTTTTCTTGTGGAGTTTTTTGGAGTGCCTCGACCTCATTACTGTTTACAGTGGTTACTGATTGTTTGCTATGGTTTACTGCACTTTGCCTCACTAAAGAGCAGCTCCATGTTTGGGTGCATATAAAACCTCAGGGAACTAGGAAGAGGTGCATGAACTGTGCATGTGTGTTCCCAATACGCCAGTCTTAGAAGTTTGCCCATAAACTTGTGCATTAATGAGAAACAGTGAAGTGACCATGTTTTACACATTCTGCTCATCTTTTCTGGCCTGTTGAACACAATCCCTAATGCAGGAGGACCTATAGAAGAACCCTTACTATCAAGTGTCCTGGAAGGTGTCAATATATATGATAACCTTTGTATCCTGCAGCTAGATTTTGGTGACTATAGAAGTGACTTCATGTGGTATTATTAATAAACACTATTTCATTATTAGTTTTTAATGCCTATAATTCTTCTTTAAGGTGCCAAGATGGCTATATAATGGATTCAGATAAGTCAACAAAAACTTGCCTGGAAGATGGTTCTTGGTCAACAGAGGAAATTGTATGTGTTCCCAGAAAATGTACATTACAGGCAAACACAGTAAAACTAAAAGCAGATTATGATATTAATAAAACCATAACCGTTGACTGCAAACCTGGCTACACATTATCAGGACCAAGTACCTCAACTTGTATGGTAAATTGTTTTTATTGCTTTAATATTCAAAGTAATTGGAACAAAACTGTATTTCTCCTAATTGTATCTATAAAATGCATGAATAATGTTAATAATTGTGAATTAAACCAAACTTTTATTTTTGTTGGTTATGATGCAGTAAACTTTAGATGTTTAATTTCACTTCTGTGTAATACCATAAAAGTGTACCTCGATTAATAAACAATAGGAAAGCCAGAAAAGGGTAAATTCCTTTATATTACCTTGGAAATATACAGAATTTGCTTTTGTAGTATACAGTTCAAAGGCAAAGCACCCATATATTTTTCATTAAAAAAATAATACTGATATCACACTTATGTCATATCTGTGTAACAAGTATGACAAACCTTTTGTCAATTTTTTTGTCTAAGCCCTGTATATGTATACAGTACTGTATATTTCAAAATGTTTGAGTTCAGTTGACAAAAAACTTTTTTTTTTTGGTTTAGACTGATGGTAACTGGTTACCTCCATTGACTGATGATATATGCTCTCCAATATCATGTGAAAAGCCAGCAGCGCCAAACCATGGATCAGTGCTTGGAACAAGATTCCTCTATCAAGATACAATTTTGTACCAATGCGATTCGGGGTATGAAATAGAGGTAAATAATTATTTGAATTATTGATAGTTCACAGCCTGTAATTGCATTTTTTTCTGGTTAACTCCATTCCCCATCCAGACAAAAAATCAGTTGATACTTTGCAGATACAATGTATTCATATTGCAGAAAAGACCTAAATAAATGCTGTGTTTATTCATAAATTCACTCCTGTAAAACATGTAGACATTCTGCAGTGGTAATCAGTTTTTGTAGAATGCATTATTCTGCAAAATCAGTAATTGCCAATATCACTGCACCCAGAAATTGTATTTACAATACTGGTAGATTTGCAAAACCTTGTGTCTTCTGTCTTTTATACTATAGACACACAAAGGAGTTGCAGAACACAAACATATTTGCATGTGAAAGACAGGTCACAACATTTAAGATGCGTTTGCACTTGCATATGATTTGATGTGAGAACTCCAGTGGGGGTTACCATCTCTAGTTGTGAGTAGGCACCCTCATTGAAAGCAATGGAAGGCAGCTGGCATTTGGCAGCTAATTATGCCCACTTGCATGTAATCTTGCAAGCAGCGATCACGTGAGTGATCGGTCCTTAACCCAGAAAGCCTGCGTTCAGGACCGTTCACTCGCATGTAATCGCTAAATGAGCGATTACATGCGAGTGGGCGCATTTGGCTATGAGAACCCTGTTATATTTGCTGTCTAATGCTGAAAGTGGAGATCTTTCTGTTTTTGGCTCTGTGTGTGTTTGCCCAGCTTAAAGCAGAGCATACATTTTAGGAAGCAGTTGAATGATTATTTCTATGATTATTTACTGGTATTCTTGCTAAATTCTGTAAAACCTATAGAATGTGTGCGCATATTAGTAGCCATGTCTTTGTGAGCATTTATGGCTTGTTGACACCATGTCCATTATGCTGTTTTTTTTTTCTGCACTCCACTGCACAGTTAAGGTGTGAACAGGGTACATAGAAAATTACTGAGCCACTATTGTCTTAAAGTTGTTCAAAAACCTGAAGGTTTTTTACCTTATTGTATTCTCTGCATTAAGGTAAAAAACCTTGAAATGTGCAGCTCACCCCCTTTCCCAGCCCACCTTTATACTTACTTGAGCCTGATCTTTATCCAGCAATGTGCACAAGAGCAGAGACTCTCTCTGCTCTCTCCCTCCTCATTGGCTCAGACAGCCAGTGAGGAGGGAAGGGTCAGGGACGAGCCATGCGCTGTGTGTCTTATGGCCCTGGACTGCAGGAGTGCCCCCACTGCAACCAGCTTGGGTGGGGGAAAGGGGCCAGGAGCGCCAGCAGGGGACCCAAGAAGAGGAAGATCAGGGCTGCTCTGTGCAAAATCATTCTACAGAGCAGGTAAGTATATACTTGTTTGTTAATTTTTTTAAAATGATCCTTTACAGTCAGTTTAACCTTTTCTTGACCAGAGCTCAGATGCCCAGACCAAGTTTAGCTGTATCAGTACACATCAGTCAATTTCACAACAATCCTCTGTGACTAATTTTTCAGTTTGGCATTGGGTCTGATAACTAGGAACACACAGTTTAGTATTCCTAATTCTCTGTTGGAAGGGCAATTACCTTCTCATGGCGAAGGAAATGTTTTTAATATGAATTTCAAAAGGTATATTTTGGTTACAAAGTGGTTAAGGGAACAATAATCAGGGGAATTCAAAATAGTTCCAGTGCCAATTTTCTGTCAGTAGTTTGCTTAAGAACTCCCTGCACCTAATTCAGGCAAGCATTTTTTCCAGTGTCTGTAACATTGCCAACACATGCAGCAAATTCAGGTAGTTCTTACAACTTTAGGAACCTGTGGTTGTATCAGTTACAGATTCTTTAAAATTTACTGCCAATTCTCAGATTAGGGAACTAGTAATTAAGACCAGCTCTGAGCTGGCATACAGAGATATTCAGGCACTCGGAATGGGGCATGTCTGTGGTGGGAAGCTGTCATGGATGTGACAACTTCCCACACAAAACTGTATCCATGGCCCCATTCAGCCAGAAGCTAAATGTAAACAAGGAGGCCAATGGTAATGGTGACGTCATTACCCAAATATGACCATGTCCATATGTGGGAAATGACTTGGTACTGGTTGGGCGGAGACGGATGAGGAACTGAGACTAATTTCCTATCAGGTCCGGTTTACTTTTGATTAACATCACATGGCAGTGGGTGGATTTGAAAGCCGCTACTGTACTGAATAGAATCTATCAATCCTCCAACTACCATAGGTGTCTTTCTGTTACCCATCAGGCTGTGCCCACCCCTGGTACTAAACCCTCAGGAGTGTCCAGTATGGTACATGAATTAGGTGCAAACACCACCATTAGTGCCCTGACGAAATTACAACAACTTTTATTCTTTCCCAAGAGTGTCTCTGCCCCCAAAAAACAACCTTTTGGCCAACACTATTCTCATTTTTTTTTCATATAGATCTGATATCAAACGTTAATATTAGTTTGAAGATCCTGTCAATGCAGTTCATTTAACAATCACCTTATGTCTTTGGGTGCCTACAAAATTTTAAAAAAGCATGGATTTTTACCAGCAAAATGATGTACATACAAACAATGACTTTGACAGCTCTTGTCCTTAGTAGGTGAGAGAGCTGAGATCACTAGGGGTGGGGATGAGAGAACATCAACATTTACAGTTTCTGATATTCCATGTGTGAAAACAAATGCTGCAGGCCAATATGTACTGCCAACTGCAGTCAGCATATACATTATTGTTGTCTCGCCCGCTGTCAGAGGCAACCTAGAGTGGTATAAATCCATTTGGTGAACTTACTGACTTGGAAAAAAAGAACTCTTTTGAAGTAACACAGCTTGAAAATATATCATGAGTCTTGCAATATTTCTTTGAGAAATTCAAACATCTAAATGCTACATTATCTTAAACTTTGTTTTGGTAAGCTAAGCACACTCTAGTGTGATCTAGCTATGTAAGCCAAAGAAAAACACAGATTGAAAGGTCTGAAAATATATTTAGGAATTCAAGAACATTTTACCGAAATGCCTCTAAAGCTGAATTATTTCACGCTGCTCTACTTTAATGTAAACTTGAAAACTTTTCCAGTATTTCGTGACTTGTTAACCTTAAAAATGTTTTCTGCCCATATTGCATTTCGAAGATTCATTTCAATTCACATATTATAACAGAATGCATATAAAAAACCATCCAAGCACTGCCTAATTTACAGGAGCAGAAGTTCTGAAGTGAGTGCTAAACAAATACAGTAATTGATGATAAATTACACTCATGCATATTTCAAAAGCTCCGAATGTTTTTTTTATGAACAGTCTGAATGCTTTTGACGTAGTGAATTAATAGTTTTACAAAACTGAGCCGCAAAAAGTTTTAACACTACTTAAAGTGACAGTATGGCTACAGTTGTAACTTGAAGTGTTACTAAACCCTGCATTCACTATATCTGGTCTTAGACAGTACATAGAACATAGAAATACAATTATTTTAGTAAATATAAACTGCTAAATACCTTTCCTCATCAGCGGTATATAACAGTCTTGTGCCTTCTATTAGTGTCCAGATGAGCACGGGTTAAAGTTTGTAGGAGGAGTTTGTATTCTACTCTGTCTGTCCTATGAGGCTGCATAACCCCTGAACTTTTGTCTGGACATTGCTGATTGGCCTGTGCTGATCACACGTACCCTCTCTAGCAATACACACCAAACAGAGCATTTTCAGAGTGACTCCTAGAGCTTTGTACTATCAGCAGATGGATTGGGGACAGTAAAAGAAAGGGAGGATCAAAGAAGACAGGATAAAACAGCCTTTTTACACAATGCGGAGGATTAACCTCCTATGTTCCATGGTGAGTATAACAAGCATTCTTTACTGCATGTACAGACTGATTTTACTGTTGTGGGTTTAGTAACACTTTAACAACCATCAGGTCAATGTGTAAAGATTGCTGAAAATAGATTAAAATTTTTCAAGTGTCAGGAATAGAATTGCAAAAGCAAAAATTCGGAAATTAAAGTGCAGATCAAAATGTACTGTATATACCTATGTTGTTTCGTTCTGGCTTGTTCCTACATGCTGCAGTGACTGCTATTTTTTGCACAGGATCAATAGAGGTCAGAATTAGTGTGATGTACAGTACATTGTAGATAAATGCAGATATGCTGCATTTTTATGCAGCCTACTGAATCACACTGCAGACCACCACACTGCAGCTCAGGCCACTGCGCTGCTGCATAGAGACCAAGATGGAGTGTACACTTTGTACACTTCCAATAAAGTAAAAAAAAAGGTAAACAGTGCCTTGCAATGTAAGATGCAAGGCACAGCTCATAACTGCTGCTGCACAGTTGACATGAGCAATATGCTAAAATGGATCATATTAGCATGCTGCTGAAGAGTTAAAAAAACCTATCCAGATGCCCATTTTATTTATGTGAAGCTACAGTCACATGACAATCCTTCTCTATTCTTTTGCTTACTTTGGGTGTCCACATCACTGCCTGCAGGATGTGGACACCTCCTATTGGTAAAGGCGTCACTTCCAGTCACATGACAATCCTTCTCTTTTCTTTTGCTTACTTTGGGTGTCCACATCACTGCCTGCAGGATGTGGACACCTCCTATTGGTAAAGGTGTCACTTCCAGTGTCTGGGTCCTCTCTCATTAGCTCCAAAAGCAGGTGTAATCACAGGGGTGGTGGAGGGACCAGTTTCCCAAGAAGATAACAAGCAGTGACAGGGCAGGAAATTAGCTTGGCTCATAGAAGAAACATTGAGTAAGATCCATTACACTGCAGAACAACTTAGGAAAAGGTGCTTGGAATCAAGTAAGTAAGGTAATTGATGCACATTGGACTAGTTAAATTTCATTTTTGCCTGGAGTTGGGTTTTAACCGCTTAAGGACAGCCACGTAATTTTACTGAGTGTGATTGGACTTGCTGCGACAAATCACATACATTTTCGGGTATAGGGCACACACGCGCACCCCACCTGATCTGTGCTGTCATTCAGTAAATAATTCAATAGACATAAATTACCGTATTTTTCGCTCCATAAGACACACCTGACCATAAGACGCACATAGGTTTTAGAGAAAAACAAGAAAAAAAAATATTCTGAACCAATGGACTGCAGACATAGTACAGGGGATGACCAGAGACTGCGGACATAGTACAGGAGATGACCAGAGACTACGGACATATTACAGGAGATGACCAGAGACTGTGGACACAGTACAGATGACCAGAGACTGCGGACATAGTACAGATGACCAGAGACTGCGGACATAGTACAGGAGATGACCAGAGACTGCAGACATACTACAGGGGATGACCAGAGACTGCAGACACAGTACAGGAGATGACCAGAGACTGCAGACACAGTACAGGAGATGACCAGAGACTGCGGACACAGTACAGGAGATGACCAGAGACTGCGAACACAGTACAGGAGATGACCAGAGACTGCGGACACAGTACAGGAGATGACCAGAGACTGCGGACACAGTACAGGAGATGACCAGAGACTGCGGACATAGTACAGGGAAAATACCAGGGACACAGTACAGATGACCAGAGACTGCAGACAGTGCAGGGAATAACCAGAGACTGCACACAGTGCAGGGAATAACCAGAGACTGCAGACAGTGCAGGGAATGACCAGAAACTGCTGACCTTTGGGGAGGGAGGGGAAGCGGGTTCCTGAATTTGACAGGTACCCGCTCCCACTTCCGCAGAGTTGTCTTTCCCTCTTCTTCCCGCGCCGGCTTCTGTGACAGCCGGGTGCCCACTGCGCATGCGCGAGAAGCGCTGCGCTTTGTGAATGGCCCGCCCCGACGCGTTCTGGGACCTGTCATGTGTCCCAGAATACACCGGATCATTCACAAAGCGCAGCGCATGCGCAGTGGACACCCGGCTGTCACAGAAGCCAGCGCGGGAAGACTGTGCAGCGCTGGAGCAAGGAACAGGTAAGGTCCTGCAGGAGAGAACAGCTGAGCGGCCGGGCCCGGTATTCTGACTTGGTGGCTGCAGAAATACCGGACCGGCCGCTTTATATTCGCTCCATAAGACGCACTGACATTTTCCCCCCTTTTTTGGGGGGAAAAAAGTGCGTCTTATGGAGTGAAAAATACGGTAATTAGTTTATTAGTTCATGTTTTGCTTCTGGGGGTCACATAGTTACACAGTTAATCTGACTGAAAAAAGACAAATGTCCATCCAGTTCAACCATAAGAAAAAAAAAAAAGTTATAATCCTATACCCACAGTTGATCCAGAGGAAGGCAAAAACCCAACAAAGCATGGTGCAATTTGCTCCTGAAGAGGAAAAAATTCCTTCCTGATCCCCCGAGAAGCAATCGAATATTCCTTGGATCAACTTTACCTATAAATGTTAGTAACCAGGTATATTCTGTGTTTCCAAGAAAGAATCCAGGCCTTTTTTAAAGCAATCCATTGAGCTGGCCAGAACCAACTCTTGAGGGAGTCTATTTTACATTTTCACAGCTGTTACTGTGAAGAAACCTTTCCGTGTTTGGAGATTACATGATGTATTTATACATGTTGATCATATCCCCCCTTAATCTCCTCTTCTCAAGAGAGAATAGATTCAGTTCCTCTAAACTTTCCTCATAGCTGATCTCCTCCATGCCTCTTATCAGTTTGGTTGCCTTTCTCTGCACTTTCTCCAGTTCTCAAACATTCTTTTTGTGAATTGGTGCCCAAAACTGAACTGCATATTCCAGATGAGGTATTACTAATGATTTGTACAGGGGTAATATGATATCTCTCTCTCTCTCTGGAGTCTATACCTCATTTAATACAAGAGAGGATTTTGCTCGCTTTACAAAACTGCAGCTTAGCATTGCATGCCATTATTAACCACTAGCCTACCAGACACTCCATACCCCCTTCCTGCCCAGGCCAATTTTCAGCTTTCAGCGCTGTCACACTTTGAATGACAATTGCGCAGTCATGCAACACTGTACCCATATGAAATTTGTATAATTTTTCTTAGACAGATATAGTTTTTGTTTGGTGGTATTTAATCACCTCTGGGTTTTTTATTTTTTGCTAAACAAACCAAAAACAACTGAAAATGTTGAAAAAAAAATGTTTTTTCTTAGTTTTTGTTTTACAATTTTGTAAATAAGTGATTTTTCTCCTTCACTGATGTGCGCTAATGAGGCTGCAGTGATGGGCACTGATAGGCTGCACTAATGGGCACTGATAGGTGGCATTGATGAGGAGGCACTGGTAGGTGGCACTGATGGGCATTGACAGGCATCACTGATGGGTACTGAAAGGCAGCACTCATATATGGCACTGATAGGCAGCACTGATTGGCAGTACGGATAAGTGGCACTGACTGGCATTGATAGGTGGCACTGACTGGCACTGATAGGTGACACTGAAAGGCAGCTGAGATGGGCACTGATATGTGGCATTGATGTGCACTGGTAGGCACTGATATGTGGCATTGATGTGGCACTGATGGGCACTGGCAGGTGGCATTGATGGGTAATGACAGGTGGCATTGATGGACACTGATAGTTGACACTGCTGGGGCTACACTGATCATCAGGGCACACTGATCATCAGTGCCCTGATGATCAGTGTACATGTCCCCTCTGAAGAATGCCGATTACCGGCTCTCCTCTCGTGCTGTCAGCGTGACAGCTCGAGTGGAGAGAAATGCCGATAACCAGCATTTCCCTATTTACATGTGACCTGCTGTGATTGGACACAGCTGATCACATGACCAAGCCGACATCTTCGGTTCTTACCGTTGATCGGTGATCTGCTGTTTCCGAGGGACACAGCACCCCACCGATCGCCACACTGTGCGCTCCCGGAGCCGCACACACGCAGTTAGAGGGAGTTGACGTCATATGATGTTCTCCCAGAACAAGAGAACCACCTTGCGCCCGTCATTGTCTTATATGGCGGGCGGGAGGCAGTTAAGCTTGTGATCTACCAGAACTCCCAGATCCTTCTCCACCATTGATTCCCCCAGTTGTACTCCCCTAGTATGTATGATGCATGCATATTCTTAGCCCCCAAGTGCATTACCTTACATTTATCAATATTAAACCTCATTTGCCACATAGTTGCCCAATTAAACAGTGCAAGGATGATATTCCACTGCACAGCTTGGTGTCATCTGTAAAGACTGAAATGACACTATATTGTTTATAAATATATTATAAAGTAAGGGTTCCAGCACTGAACCTTGGGGTACACCACTGACAACCCAGATCATTCTGAGTATGAATCATTAACCATTACTCTCTGAATACGATCTTTTAATCAGTTTCTATCCAATTACATACAGATTTTTCCAAGCCTGTAGACTTTACCTTACACATTAGCTGCGTGTGTGGGGAACTGTGTCAAACACTTTTGCAAAATCCAAGTATACCACGTCCACCGCCACCCCCCGGTCCAAGATTTTGCTTACCTCCTCATAAAAAGAAATCAGATTTGTTTGATAACTTCTGTCTTTCATGAATCCATGCTGTCTGTTGCTTAAAATATTTTTTTCCAGCAAGAACTCATCCATGTGGTCTTTTATTAAACTCTCCAGTATCTTCCCAATTATAGAAGTTAAACTAACAGGTCTATAATTACTTGGTAAGGATTTTGACCCCTTTTTAAATATAGGCACCACATTAGTCTTACGCCAATCCAGTGGTACTATACCAGTTACTAAAGAGTCCCCAAAAACGAGAAACAGTGGCTTTGAAATGACAGAACTCAATTCTTTAAGAACCCGTGGGTGTATGCCATCTTGTCCAGGTGCTTTTTCACCTTTATTCTGTCTAAATATTTCTGGATCATATCAATTGTGAGCCAGTTGTGGATCATCTGGAGCTGTGTCAATACCATGCCTATTATGGATTAGATTCTAGATTTTTTTGTAAAGGGCCTACATGCTCAGACCGGACCTTTTTACTATTAATATATTTGAAGAATTGTCCTGCTATCTTTTGCAATCTGTCAATCGTTCTCAATTTTTGCAGCCTTTATTTCCTTTTTGCTCATTCTGTTATATTCTTTGTAATGTTTAAACGATGATAGTGTTCCTTCATTTTATATTTAATAAAAGCTCTTTTCCTATTATTTATAACTTTTTAACTTTAGCCGTAAGCCACATAGGTTTGATTTTTAGCCTTTTAAAATTGTTGCCCATGGGAATATATTTTCCAGTGTGTACATACAGTCTTTTTGAAAAACTCCTATTTCTGTGTTGTGTTCATCGATGCCAATATTCCCTCCCAGTCTAAGTCTTGGAGAGCAGCTCTCAGCCTTGGAAAATTTGCTTCCTTAAAATTGAGCGTTTTTATTTTTCCCATATGTTCTTGCTGTTTACAGCTAACAGTAAATGAAATCATGTTATGGTCACTGCTACCAAGATGTTCTTTTATATGGACATTCGTAATAAGCTCTGCATAGTTTGAGATTACCAGGGCCAGCAGAGCATCATTCCTAGTTGGGGCCTCTATGAACTGTACCATAAAATTGTCCTGTAGCAGGTTTATACATTTTTGCCCTTTAATTGTTCCTGCAGTATCCATTATTATCACTGTGCCAGCCCTTGCAGCCCTTTGGATCTGTGCATGGAGCTGAGTCTCCACTTGTTCATTAACACTGGGAGACCGATAACAAACTCCAATGATTACCTTTGTAGTACACCCCCATGTGCATTTCCCCATAATGCTTCAGCCACAACACACTCTCCATCAACTTCTTTCACACTCGCTCTGAGATCACATCTCACATAGAGACAGACACCATTAGCTTTCCTTTTTACCTGTCTCTCTGAAAGAGAACATAGCCAGGAATATTAATGGCCCAGTCATGTGAAAAATGAAGCCAAGATTCAGCAATACCAATTAAATCATAGTTCTGTTCATGCACCAAAGCTTCCATCTCACCTATTTTGCTTGGCAGACTTCTGGCATTGGTGAACAAACACTTTAATCCATTGACACCTTGTGTACACATATTTTGCATATTTTCCCCCCATCTTTCCCCATTCCACCCACCAATAAGAACTGACCCCTGTCTGATCTGTCTACCCCATTATAATCTAATTCTCCCTCCCCCTTCGATCCTATTTTAAATACTCCTGAAGCCTCCCCATAAACCTCTCCCCCAGCACAGCAGACCGCCTTCCATTTAGGTTCAAACCATCTCTAGAATATAGATTGCACCCCAATGAAAAGTCAGCCCAGTGCTCTAGAAACCCAAATCCTTCCCCTTTACACCAGGTCTTTAGCCATGCATTTAGTTCTCTAATCATGTGTCATGTCATGTGTCCCAGAAGACGCTGGACCATTCACAAAGTGCAGCACTTCTCGCACGTGCGCAGTAGGCACACGTCTGTCACAACCGGGTGCCCACACTAAAGATGCTGGCGCCGGAAGACTGTACAACGCTGGACCGAGGAACAGGTAAAGTTCTGCTGCAGAGAAGAGCCGAGCAGGCGGCCTGGTATTCTGACACAGCGGCGGCGGCAGGGATACCGGACCAGCCGCTCCATATTTGCTCCATAAGACGCACTGACATTTTCACCCCTTTTTTTGGGGGGAAAAAAGTGCATCTTATCGAGCGAAAAATACGATATATACCATAGTTTGTAGACGATATAACTTTTGCACAAACCAGTTTTTTACCAAAATCATGTAGCAGAATATACTTTGGCCTAAAGTTATGAAGAAAAATACATTTTATTGGATGTGTTTTATAACAGAATGTAGGAAACATAGTTTTTTTTTTTTTTTTTTTTTAAATTTTTGGTCTTTTTTCATTTATATAATAAAAAAAAAACAGTTTTGATTGAATACCACCAAAAGAAAGCTATATTTATGTGAAAAAAATGATATATATTTAATTTGCATACAATGTTGCCTGACCGAGCAATTGCCAGTTAAATTAACGCAGTGCAGAATAGCAAAACTTGGCCTGGTCATGAAGACGGTAAAACCTTTCAGAGCTTAAGTGAAGCGGAGTTTCACTCATCAAAAGTCAGCATCTACAAAAACTGTAGCTGCTGACTTTTAAAAAACAGCCACTTACCTGTCCCTCGGTCCCGTGGTGTGTCCCCCGCAGCCTTTTTCACCGGCCGTCCTGAATTCCTGGGGCTGTCATCTTCAGTGTGGGCATCTGGCTGTGACTGCTTGTGGCTTCACAGCGAGAGTACCCACTGCGGATGCGCAAGTAGCACTGCGCTTCATGAATGGTCCTGTAGTCTTCTGGGACCTTTCATGTGTCCCCGAAGACTACGGGGAGGGAAGGAGGGAGGACACCTTCTGTTTCCGATCGCCTAGGCGGTCCGACCGCAATTGGGAGCGGGTACCTGTCAAATTCAGGTACTCGCCCCCAAAAGGTGCCAATCCTTAATGGTGAGCGGGGGAACAGTCCTTAAAGCAGAACTTCCCCTTTAGGGTGGAGCTCAGCTTTAAGTGGTTAAGTAAAATTTGCAGATATTGTCATTTCCCTCTTTCCTGAAAGAAGCAGCAGACTGATGAGCTCATTTCTTTATCATTCTCTTTTCTCCTTCTATAAGCATGGTCCTTGTTAGCACATGAGCACTGTGACACAGATGAGTGTTTCCTTGTGCTGCTTTTCCTTCTTCCATACTAGCTTCACTGTACAGTTGACTGCAAGAGGCTGATACCAATTTAAATTTGGGTACTGACACTACTTTCATTAAAAACAAATACATTAAATGAGGTATTAACAATTACAGAACTGCTTATTAATGTGTTTTTTATATGCTTGGAGTTCAGCTTTAGATCTCTTGGGGACTTTATTGATTAAATGTTGATGATGCCTTGAGTTTCTGGACCTGCACACTTTTTTTCCCATTATAATGCATTTCTCTCCAACTTGGTAGATTTATTTTTTATTTTATGCTATTGAAAATGCAACGGGACGAGCTGGAACACACACAGGGTGACACTAAAAGCCAGGTGGACTGGAAAAGGCTAGGAAATTGAGATCTAGTGGATGGAATATCCTAGACAATAAAAACAACTGTGAGAGAGCTTAACCTGTCCAGGTCCACCTATAGCTAAAACATCAGAAATGCCATCACAACAGTCAACCAGGATTGCTAGTAAATAATCATAAAGCTTTAGAGATGGTCAGGAGCAGTGTTTGTACCAACTAGGGGACACATTTGAAAAAACTTGTTTATTTGCATACTATTAATTTCTACTACTGTTTCTTTCAGGGAGCAACTGAAAGAGTTTGTGAAGCTAACAAATTATGGAGTGGAGTAGAGCCTGAGTGCAAACGTGAGATATTTTGCTTAGTAACTTATAAACTAATGTTTACACTTTTATAATAGATAAAAACAAGTTATTAAATTTTCAGCATTCATTTCTATTTCTCTATTTCTAGCCCTGTACTTGTATTGTAAGGTATGTTTTTGGTGAGTGTCATTGGGGCTTAGATTATCAATTTATGTAAATAGTTTATGTAACAGTGTAATGTACACTCCCTGGCCACTTTATTAGGTAGTTGCTAGTACTGGGTTGGACTCCCCATTGCCTTCAGAACTGCCTTTATTCTTCATAGCATAGATTGAGCAAGGTGTTGGAAACATTTCTCTGAGATTTTGGTCCATATTGACATGAGTTACTGTTGCCTATTATCTCAAACCAGTTTCCCTATTTTCCTCTGACTTCAACAAGGCATTTTTGTCCACAGAACTGCCACTCACTGGATATTTTCTCTTTTTTGGACCATTCTCTGTTAACCCTAGAGATGGTTGTGCATGAAAATCCCAGTAGATCAGCACTTTTTGAAATACTCAGATCAGCCCATCTGGCACCAACAACCGCACCACGTTCAAAGTCACTTAACCTCCCTGGAGGTATTCCCGAGTGTAGCTCGGGGTAAAGTTTCAGTACCAAAAGCGGTAACCCCGAGCTACACTCGGGCTTACCATGCAGCGCTGCTCCGGCATCTGTTCTTCACTTACCTTGTCCTGCGCTCCCGCAATGTCCCTCCTGCGGTGTCCCCGGCAATGTAATCCGGCGGATGCCGGCATCTGTCATCTAGGTTCCGTCCCCTGCAAGCGTCGGGACGTACGGGGGACGGAACGGCAGGAAATTTGAAAATGACCAAAAGTGACATTCACTCAATACACTAAAATCACATAGCAAAACATTCCTGTATCAAACCATTTCACATACATTTTGTCCCTAGTGCTTTGTCCTGTGCCCTGCCTGCATTTGTACCGTTCTTTCTGCCTGGAAACTGAGAAACGTCCATGGCGTCCAAAAAGCGTCCCTTTAGGTCAAAATCGGTTTTAGACCAGCTAGAGAACAGCGATAGTAAATTAGAACCACTTGCAGAATTGAGTGATAATGATTCGTGGGGAGATTCGTCATCGGACACTGAAAACGATTTTGCGACTTTGCTCAGTGATGTGCAAACTTGGAGCTATATTTCAGATTTCAGTGTTTTTGGCTTGATTACATTATTGAATTAAATTTATTATTATTATATTATTATATTTTATGATTATTTATTAAATTATAATTTATGATTTCGTGTTTCAAATTTTATCATACCCGGGATGTTTACTAGACTCTTGTTCGGACAGATTTCAGTGAGTTATTCCTAAAAATTTCAGGCCTACAATAAAAAAAACTATATATTTCCATGTAAAAAAATGCACCGCTTTGAGCACAGAAATATGGACATAATCAGACCGCTAGGGAGGTTAAATCCCCTTTCTTCCCCATTCTGATGCTCGGTTTGAACTTCAGCAAGTCATCTTAACTACGTCTACATGCCTAAATCCACTGACTTTCTGCAATGTTATTGGCTTATTAGTAATTTGTCTTACCAAGCAATTGAACAGGTATACCTAATAAAGTGGCTGGTGAGTGTAATATGTTGCTGCTGTAAAAATATGAGAAATCACCAACACATTAACCGATTTCCCGCTGCCCTATAGTAGAACTACTGCTTCACGGTGGCAGGGCTGCGTAAATCACGTATATATACGTGGTTTGCATTTCCAGGTAAGGGACGCGTGCGCCGCCATTGGCAGCTAGGGATGTCAATCACTGAGTCCTGGCTGGGGGTTCCCCACTGGCACCTGGCGACCTGTGTAGACAACACAGGTCTTTCTTCTGCCAGCATTGACATGCTGCTGCGTATTTCTCTGCACAGCAGAGAAATACGCAGCAGCATGTATCCCTAGTAAAACACACACAGCATTTCATGTAAAACAGCACACAGTTAACCCTTTGATCACCCCAGATGTTAACCCCTTCCTGCCCAGTGTCCTTTGTACAGTGTTAGTGCTGTTTATTAGCACTGATCACTGTATAAGTGTCATTGGGATGCCAGTGGCAGTTAGTCAGTTTCCACCCAGTGTCAGAATGCCGGCCACAGTCCCGCAGTCTTGGTATAAGTCACTGATCGCCGCCATTACTAGTATAGAAAATTTAAAATCAAAATTCCAGTATATATACCGTCATTTGTAGACACTATAGCTTTCACGTAAACTTTAATTTACATGTATTTGGGGTTTTTTATAGCAAAGACATGTAGCAGAATACATTTTGGCCTAAATTTATGCAGAAAATAGATTTTTTACATTTTTTCACTGGATATGTTTTATCTCAAAAATTCAAAAAATAATGTTTTTTTTTTTTTTTCAAAATTGTCGGTCTTTTTTTGTTTATAGCGCAAAAAATAAAAACTGTAGAGGTGATCAAATATCACTGAATGAAAGCTCAATTTGTGGGAAAAAAATGACATAAATTTCATTTATGTACAGCATTGCATGACCGCGCAATTGTCAGTTAAATTAATGCAGCACCGTATCGCAAAAAAATGGCCTGGTCAGGAAGGGGGGTAAATACTCTGGGGGGCAAGTGGTTAAAGAAAATATACATATACCAAGTAAAGAAAAGTTTATTCTCCCACTGCCCTGATGCGCTTTTTCTAAAGGGCAGTAAACCTGCAGTTTTCATGTGGATTAGCTGCACTTTCCCATAGACTTCTTGAGGTGCAGTAATTTTGGTATCCTTTTGCTAAGGGGTATATTGTACCAGTATTACACACAAGTGCTCATCACCACTTTCTGTGTATGTAGACAGGACTAGTTTACTGAACAGTGAAGTGTCAAGTGCAATGTCTAGATCTTGTGTTATAGTGCAGAGAATGACAATGAGCCATACAACTGACTGACCTGATGCAGCAACATGCTGTGTCATCTATAATAAATGAATCAGCTAACACTTCAAAGTACCCTAGGTTAATGCTGAAGAAAAGAGTTCAGGTGTCTAGAAAAAACAGCATAGCATTTAAACAAATGCATGACACCATATTTTGTTTTTTATTGTAATGTGTTTGTTTATTTATATGCAGATCAATAAAAATATATCACATATTCTAAACAAATAAAAAAGAACCAAATCATTCAGGAAACAGTAAAAAGGGAAACATAAATAAATCATCTTGTAATGACTACCTTGAAACATTTTACAACCCATATAAAGTAAAAAAAAAAAAATAGTTCCTAACATAGTATAGTGGGAGAGAAAAAAAGAAAACCTGGATGGAGGGATATTAGATTCCGACACCACAAAACTATTGCATATTTGTAGCTTGATCTTATGTCCTTAAGTTTGTCATCTTGACAAAAGAGAACAGAATCTGAACAGAAAGCACATTTAAAAAAATGCATGCCACCTTAGGCCAAACGCATAATTATGTATTTGTATACATGAGCATGAACATCAGATAAGCATGCTGGTAACATTGTTTCCAGTTAGCCAGTATTCTTTTTAAAAAGTATCAAAACCCCGAAATAAAAATATATTTTGTTGCAGTTTACCAATTTTTAGATCGGTACATTACTTTTCCTTTCATAGGCTCTTTTCCTTTCATCTGCCGATCCATTAAATAAGTCTGTTATTTTTTTTAACTTCCTTTAATGGACTAGGCTGCTCAGCAAAATGGCAAATAGAGGATCGAGACAAACCACGTAACACTGACTGGGGTGCTTACAATGATCAGCCCTTATTAAATTATGTAAACCTTTATCTCAAAAGAAAAAAAAATTTTTGCTATAAGTGCTTAAAAAAGTGTTAGCCAGAGTTCGGCTTTAATTTATTAGTCAAGTCCACCTAAATTTGGTAGTACATCAAACACTACTTTCTCCCCAGATTGACAATGCTGCTAACCGAAGGTCTCACCATTGCTCCTTGATCATCGAGACAGGAAGTGTGTTACTGGCCGGTGGCCGGATCACCAAGTGAAAATATAGGAAAATAAGCCTGAAAAAAAGAAAACTAATGAAGTCACCACATTCTAGGATTGATAAAATATCCTGAAATCTAGAATTTTTTTTTAGTTTGGATATACTTTTAAGTGATACTGAGGCTGTCATAACTAATACATTTCTGCAGCTTTTCATTTACAGTGAGGACATCACTGGATGTATCATCTCTAACACAAAGGACATTTTCATTGTCATCAAGTTGCTTACTCACACTTTTAGTTTATTCCAGAATTTATTTACCTAGCAACATAGATAAACAGATTAAATAAATTAAAGTGGTTCTAAAGGCTCAAGGTTCTTTACCTTCATGCATTCTATGCATGAAGGTAAAAAACTTTCTGTGTGCAGCATCCCCCCCCCAGCCCCCTAATACTCACCTATGTCCCATCTTGATCCAGCAATGTGCACTAGAGTCTCAGCTATCCTCTTCTCTTTTGCTGAGACAGAAGCGGGAGCCATTGCCTCCCACTGTTGAAAATCACAGCCAGTGAGCCAATGAGGGGAGAGAGGGGTGGGGCCAAGCCACGGCTGTGTGTGTGAATGAACACACCGAATAGCAGGTGCCCCCATAGCAAGCAGCTTGCTGTGGGGGCACCCAACAGAAAGGAGGAGCCAGAAGAGCCTGCAGGAAGAGAAGGATCCAGGCTGCTCTGTGCAAAACCACTGCACACAGCAGGTAAGTATAGACATGTTTGTTATTTTACCAAAAAAAGACAGTTAACCTAAAGTATCACTTTAAGAGTGTGTGACCTGTTTTTCAAGCAAACATTCTAAAGATTTCAAACAAATTTTGAAAGTCAATACTTTATTTTATACACTTTATATGTTCTTATAATCACTAGGGATAATCCTTTGGATTTATATTGCTTTGGAGAGCTCCTCCAGCTCCTTGCTAAAATATGCCTTCTTGACATCTGTTGTCTGTGTATCTCTTAACCTTAAAACTGAACTAAATGTGTATAGGCCAAAACAATATGTGGGCAACAAATAGACTTTACGTGGCCAATAAATGAGAAAGCATGGTAAAATGCAAGCGATAAAGGAGTAATAATTACAATATGCAGGTAAGCATGGCACTACGCAGGCAACAAATGGGCAATTATGACCATATCCAGGCAACAAATGAGTAACTATAATAATATGTGGGTATCAAACAGGCAGGCATCACAATACACTAGGAAAAAAATGGGCATTTGTTACAATATGTAGGCAACAAATGGGCAATCATGACAATAGGCAGGCAACAAATGGATAATTATTACAATAGGTAGGCAACAGGAGGTGTTACAATATACTATGTTTAAATTTTTTCCTCAAGGACAGATCCAGAATAATTGAAAAAAGCTTCTTGAGATCTAAAACAACTTTTTGTCTTCCTCATTAACTCCAAAGCATTTCAAATGTTACCAAAATTTCAGCAAAGAGAAAACAATCATACCTAGTCACAATTTGTATCTGTACCTATGAAATCTTTCCCTCGTGAGCATCAAAAGTTAATGTGACCCTCAGAGAGTCTTTTTTTATTTTTTCGTTGTAAAAAGCATAAGAAATTATATAATTTTGTAACAGCTTTTCTCTAAGCCAATTTGTTGAACAAAATGTTTTTTAAATGTGTAACCCCTTTAAAAACAGTAGGAATTTCCAGTATATTTAGTTTTCATTTCCCAAGTGATAATAACAGCTGAAAAAGCATGTAATCAGAAAAAAAATATTTTTTGTAAAAAAAAAGTTTTCATGTAGGAACCCTTAAAAATATGTAATGTCACAAAATAGCCACCAAGTAAAATAAAAATTAAGCAGAGAGTGGAATGTACTTTTTATTTTTTTTTTTCATTAAATTAGATGCTTTTTGTTTAGGAATCTCATGCAATCCTCCAGAACCTTTGGAGAATGGGATTATCCAGGGCATAAACTATTTTTATGAAGATGAACTTCACTATAGTTGCAATCAAGGCTTTGAACTTCTTGGGCCAACTCGAAGGATCTGTCATGTGGATAAACAGTGGCGCCCCTCCACCCCCCCTACGTGTGTGAGTAAGTAACTAAAGATCCTTTAATGTGAAAAGAAACAGCATTTCCCAAAGTTTATTCTTTACTCTGAGAGCTCATATTTGTGTTATTGTCAATCTTAAATATAATTATCTACGCTTCCAGCTAATGGGGCACTTGATAGCGGAATTACTTTCTTCTTTTTTTTATAGTTGGCAACATAATTGTGCAGCAGCTGTCAGAAAAATTACATTTCCCCTATTTAAAGAAAATACAGGAAAATAGGAGAAATTGCTCAATGAGTGAGGCAGACTTTATTGAATGTATTCTATTGCATTTAACTTAAAAGCCTGTTTTGGAGCTAAAACTCTAAATTCTATAGCCTGTGTCTCAAAGCATGAGAGTCTGGAAATATCGGAGCTCAGTGACTCATCTGGAAAGGCTGTCGATTCTTGCTTGATTGTATAGTAATGCCTCCCATCACTCAATGACATGGACCCACTTATCTGTCAAGCAAGAAAGATACCAAGAGCTAGAGTGATATACTGTATTAGGAGTAAGCGAACTGCAAGAAAAAAGGTTGGAAGGGTGAATGAAAATTGAGTGGGGCATAATAAAATAAGACTTTATGATTGGTGAAGTTCCTGTTCTGTTATCTGTTACTTGGTGTGACATGAATACCTACAGTGATGGCAGTTGTGGTGAATGATGTTATTTTGAACAGTTTTCTTTTCTTAAGGATGGATAATGAATAATGTTTCATGAGTTCTTTTTATCAGTTCTATGTATCCTTAATATGGCTGTATTTGCAGACAATATATACATTATGCATAACTGGATAGTTTTTGCGATCAATAGTTTTAACCCTTTTCTGTTCAGTCCCTTTAGTCTTACTAGTAAAAAAAAGTTTAGGTTGGTAGAAACAATGCTTAGTCCAGAAAGCTATAATTGTTGCTGAATTACTAAAAGCACGTGTACTTGGCAAACTAAATGTTTCACTTAGCAAGATATTTTTCCCTTAGCTTGTGAATGTGGTAAAAATTTTATTCCAATCACGTGTACAGAACATTATAAAAACAGGATTTTTGCTGCACCTGATTAGATGATGGAAGTCAGGACAGCTTCACCTCCTTCACTATGCTAAGTGAGAGTTGTCTTGCAAAGTAAACAAGCTTGAAAGCTTTAGCATTATTGTCAGCATTTAAAACCACCCAAGTTTTTACATTGTTCTGCCACCACTACATGCTAGTACTGGTAGTACTACATGTAGTATGTTGTCCCATATTGCTAGGTGCCTCTTAAACCTGGGTACACACGGATTAACCACTTCAAGTCCAGACACCTTCACTCCCTTCCTGTCCAGGCCAATTTTCAGCTTTCAGTGCTGTCACACTTTGAATGACAATTGTGCAGTCATGCAAAACTGTACCCATATGAATTTTTTAGCATTTTTTTGAGACAGATAAAACTTTATTTTGGTGGATTTAAAATTTTTTGCTATATAAATAAAAAAGTCAAACATTTTGAAAAAGAAATTGCAAATAAATAATCTTTCTTCATAAATCTGGGCCAAAATGTATTCAGCTATCTTTTTGATAAAAAAAATAACACAAATTAGTTTATAACCAAAAAATTATAATTTAAAAAAAAAAAATTATTATTTGTTGTTTTTTTTTTTAACATACTGTCACCCTGGCACTACAGTGTCACCATAGTGACATTGTACTACTTGTGGGGGGTGATGAAGATTTAGTTTTTTTCTTTTACACTGATTTTCTTTTACACTGATTGCTTTTACAGCCATAAAGGCTGTAAAATCAATAATTTCTCCCTCTCTGGCTGCATCCTTTATACTGTGAGAGCTGTGATTGGTCACAGCTTGTCACATGGTACAAGGCTGTTGTGAATAGCCTTGTACCATGTGACCCCTGTAATCATTCACAGATTTCACAAGTAAGCAATGATGTCAGAAGTGACATCTTGCTTACTACTATTCTTGCGATCACATGATCGGGACCTCACACTCCGGACACAGCGGGCAGCGGGTCGCGTTGCCGTGCGCTCCCAGGGAGCACGCACAAGCAGGGAATGCGGAATGATGTTTATAAGCGGCCACCCGCTCCTGCACTGCTCCCGTCCGGTCATTTATGTACATGGCCGGACGGGAAGTGGTTAAATTTGGCCAGTTCAGCCAAATTTTGATCCATGTATAGCACTCTCTGATTGATTAGATCAGCTTCTGTCGAAAACCTGCATTCAATCAGCAGCACTGATCAGTGTATTCTGACAGGGGTAAAGTCCCCGAAGCAGGGGATATTGCTACATCCACCTTGCTTGTGTAGATGCAGGAATCTGTGAGTTTTGTTTTCATTCAGTCTGCTGGTTGAAAGAAAAAGAAAAAAATAACAGTGTGTGCACAGTTTAGTTATGAAATCTGACCTGCCACTTCCCCCTCTGTGACAAATCTGACAACAGCTAGGGAGGAGATAGGTCCATGATCATAACAGCAGCTTGTTTTGCCTCAGAGCACTTTCCCCAGACAAGCTGTGGCAAGAATAAATGCAAAGAGACAGGAGGCTGACAACCCCATCCCCTCCCTCTTCATTCTTCATGTCTCAGGAAAGCATTCTAAGACGAGACAAGCTGCCATTATGATGCAACCTTCTCTTCCAAGCTGTTGTTGATCAGTCTCGGAAGGAGAGACCGGACCTCATAACTAGATGTAGGGGGCACATAGCTAGATGGGACCAGTACTACATGTGCTTTGTCCCATGGGAGGCAGAACAATGTTAAACAAATATTTTGGATAGTTCTTCTATAAAATAACAGCCAAATGCCTGAAACGATTGCTTGTCGTGGCAGCTTTTACGGTCATTATAGCATAGTGAAATTAGCCTAGGAATCATGTTCTTTCCCAAAAATCTTTTTTTTTTTTTATAGTTTCACTATCACAACCTCAAGTAGACTAATTTCCTGCTTTCCTCAAAAGACAGCTCATTTAAAGTCATTGGCATTAGGTTATAACCATCTTGTAGTTATGTAATATGTATTTTTTATTATTTTATTATATATGTTGTATAATTTATATAAATAGCAGTATTTTGAGGAGTGATAACTCATGTAATATTCTTTGTAAACTAACTTGCATAGTCAAACCAATAAAATAATGTGCACTGGTATTTCATTCAGTAAGACCTTTGATGAAAAAAGAGCAAAAAACAAACAGTAATACAAATATGCATTTTTTTTATAAGAGTATTAAATATTCTGTAATGTTGTATCTTATAATTGCTTAGGCTACAAAGAAAATGATTTTGCTTTGTTACTTTCTCTGCTTAGGCGTAACCTGTGAGCCTTACCCAGTTATAGAGAATGCCATTTCTGTTTCAAGAGGAAATACATATAGTAGTAATGTCACCTACATATGCAATCCTGGTTATCATCTTGTTGGGCCAGAGAATATAACATGTCTAGCTGATGGAACATGGGGTCAACCTCTTCCATCTTGCAAGGGTAAGCATTGATGTTCAGTCCAGTCCTGGGATTGAGGCCACACCCTAAGGAGGAAATGATTCTGCACCTGATATTAACATATTACTTTTTTGTTTGAGCCTGTTTGGACCACGCAGTACAGCATCATTTATGTATGAGATAATAGCAGGTCCATTTACTAATCTTATTTCTTGCATTGTCTTTGATATCTCGTTATATTGTAAAGCTCTGAGCAAACTTGGCGCTATATAAATCCTGAATAATAATAATAATAATAATATCTACTGTTTCCATTACAAGGGAGCCTTAGGCTACTTGCACACTGAGGAGTTTTTTTTTAAGCGTTTTTGCATTAAAAAAAAGCACCTGAAAAGCTCAAGAAAAATGCTTCCCTATGTATGTGAATGTAGATCTATGTATGTTTTCACACTGAGGCGTTTGCACTTGCTGTGTAGTGTAAAAACTCCTGCTTGCAGCATCTTTGGGGCATGTTTGGTGAGTTAAAAAAACACCTCAAAAACGCCTCTCCTCATTGGAATCAATGGAAAACACTTCAAAACCACCTGAAAAGCGACTCAAAAACACCTCTGAAAAGTGTTTTTGGTGCAGTTTTTAAATCACGTGCCCTTTAAAAAACACTCAGAAAGCACGGCAAAAGCGTAGTAAAAAACGCCTATGCATTTTTGCTGTGTTTTTGCAGCAGATCAGTGTAAATGTAGCTAATCTCCCTTTTGTGTCTTTAATTAACCTCCCTGGTGGTATTCCCGAGTGTAGCTCGAGGTAAAGTTTCAGCAGCACAAGCGGTAACCCCGAGCTACACTCTGGCTTACCATGCGGCGCTGCTCCGCGATCCCTCGATCACTTACCTTGTCCTGCGCTCCTGCAATGTCCCTCCTGCAGTGTCCTCCAGCAGATGCTGACATCTGTCATCTGGGTTCCATCCCCTGCGAGCGTCGGGACATATGGGGACAGAACTGGCGGGAAATTTGAAAATGACAAAAAGTGACATTCATTAAATACACTAAAATCACATAGTAAAACATTCCTGTATCAAACCATTTCACATACATTTTGTCCCGAGTGCTTTGTCCTGTGCCCTGCCTGCATTTTTACTGTTCTTTCTGCCTGGAAACTGAGAAATGTCCATGGCGTCCAAAAAAAGCGTCCCTTTATGTCAAAAGCGGTCTTAGACCAGCTAGAGAACAGCGATAGTAAATCAGAACCACTTGCAGAATTGAGTGATAATGATTCATGGGGAAATTCATCATCAGACATTGAAAACGATTTTACAGCTTTGCTCAGTGATGTGCGAACTTGGCGCTATATTTCAAATTTCAGTGTTTTTGGTTTAATTATATTATTGAATTTAATTTTTTATTATTATTATTATTATTATATTATTATTTTTTCGATTATTTTTTATTAAATTATAATTTATGATTTTGTGTTTCAAACTGTAACATACCCGGGATGTTTACTAGACTTTTTCGGACAGATTTCAGTGAGTTATTCCTAAAAATTACAGCCTACAATAAAAAAAATACATATTTCCATGTAATTAAAATGTACCGCTTTGAGCACAGAAATATGGACATAATCAAACCGCTAGGGAGGTTAAACATGAAATAGAATGGATTCAAAGGTTTCCTAATGATGGAGTTAGGAACTCTGTAACAGAAATATTGTCCTCTGAATGCCTTAGCTAAAGTTCCCTGATAATTTAAAGGGTATCTATACCTTTTTATAATTTTTCTTAAAGTTACCCCTATCCTCAGTGCCCCCCAAAGTTTTATACTCAGCTGTTTACACTCACTGTGGACTGCACAGCACAGATCTTGCAGAAGCATGGACAGATGGAAGTAAAACTTTGGGTTGGTGGATGGGGGTATCTTAAAGAATAATTATATTGTACATATAAAAGTAAGATTTAAATAAACACACTAATCCCCTTTAAAATAGAGTTACTCTTTAGCCTACCAATGCTCATCTATAACCTAAAGCTTACATAAGGTGTATAAAAGATTTTGGCAGCAAAGGTTCAGGTGTCATATGCACAACACAGCAACATCAGCGTCTCAGGAAACATAAGTAAACATTAGTAACAATTACCAGTAAAAATTAAATATTTTACTAGTCAAACGGATCCTAGCTACAAGGCTTTGTGGTGTGGTATTTTTATCTTTCTTATTGCATCTGTTTAATGGTGTACATAGTGCAAACATTACTGACCTTTATCAAGTCAAACATTTCGATATGTTTAATAATATACAGATAAAAAACACTTTCAAAAATTTGCATTGATACAAATAAACGTATAGTACATATAGTCAAATGGTCTAATCAACATGTTCTTCTTTCAGAAACAAGATGTGAAACCCCAAGTCAGTTAGATAATGGATATACTGAATATGACAATGTCACTGTTGGAAGCAGTGTAAAATACTATTGTCAAAATGGATATAGCCTGGATGGTGAACATATAGCAGTGTGTACAGGAAATGGAACATGGAGCTATCCCACACCTGTCTGTAAACGTGTGTGTTTATTTAAATCTTACATAATTATATTTGTCCAGTGACAACGCCTTTTACATGTTCTTAGAATGCTAATATACAGTCTTTGTATCATAAAACTCAGTTAATAGCATGTATGTCTGTGGTTACCTTTGTGTACACAGTATAGTAAAGTGCTATGGAACATGATTTGATGTAAAAGCTCCAGCCTTATGGATGCTGCACTTGTCATCTTTTTGAGGTTTTCTGTTTTAATCATTTGAACCTTATACAAAATGAAATGTTTGTACTATTACTTTATTATAACTACCACTATCATATCATTTTTGGGTGTATTGACAGTTTTAAATTAAAATCATTAAAATATTGCTAAAGGCAACACAATTTTAATGCTACATTAAGGCTTCATTGCACAGGTGACTAGCCTCGGTGTGAATGACAGTTGCAGGAATCCGATGAGTCTTGCAGCTGTTTTTGCCACCTGTGAGTGGCTAGCTATAGCCGCCGAGTCCTGTACACTTCACTGACAGGTCATTGGCAGCTGCAGAAATTCGTGGCTGCTCACAAAGCCAGCGATTAACTGCAGTGAAGAGGGAACTTTTCCAAGGGAGACATCTGTTTCTGTTAGGGTTGCACCGAAATTTCGGTGGCCGAAACGTTTCAGCCAAAAAAAACACCCCTTTCGGCCGTTGGCTGAAATGAAAAAAAGCACTGATACAGGTGTTGAAAAAAACCCCGCCCCTCGCCACAGCCGCCTGCCCGCTGCTCGCCCACTGCTCGCGGCCCGCCACTCGCCCACCACTCAGTAATTCTCAGCCTTTCCTCAGAAACCATCAATCCTGGCACTGGGCATAGAGATGAGTGAAGGAAAGATGGACACCACTCATCTCTATGCCCTTGGAGGACCGGAGCGATGTCACTTCCCGTTACGGCCATTTTTTTTTTCTTTTTTAAAGCACTAGATCAATTTTTTTTTTTTTTTGCTTCAATGCTTTACATTGTAGAGGAAAGTTGTGGGGTCTTACTGACCCCATATCTCTCCATAGAGAGGACCTGTCACTAATTATTTCTATCACAAGGGATGCATGCATTTCTTGTAATAAAAATAAAAGTGATTACAATTTTTTTAAAGGGACATTGCAAAAAAAAACCCATTAAATAAATAAAAAAAAGTTTAAAGTGCCCCTGTCCCCCTGTACTTGCAGGTAGTGGTTAACGCATACATAGGCCATGCCCACATATGTAAACGGTGTTCAAACCACACACGTGAGGTATCATCACGAACATCAGAGCAAGAGCAATAATTCTCGCACTAGACCTCCTCTATAAATGTACACTGCTAACCTGTAGAAATTTTTAAAGCATCACCCATGGAGATTTTTAAGTACCACAGTTTCACGCCCGTAATATTTTTACAACTCCCCAAAAAATATGGTAGGAGGAAATATAGCACCGCACCAAATCCTGGGCATGGTCAGATTGTGGGCACTGTTAAACCCTGGGTGCATTCAGGATCATGCACCCATACAGATGGCACATTGGAAGCAGCAGCTGTGTCTGTGCATCCCCTGTATCCCAATTGACTTTAATTGTATTGGAACACATGTGCATCCCCCTCGGGAATTCATTACCATCATGTGGGCCATGGATGCATACACCTCATGTGAACAAGGTTTAATTGCCATGAGGGTCAGGAAAAAGGAGATGTCAGGCATTACTTGATAAATGTGCCCATGCATGTTGTGAACTCATGGACTCCAGCCTCACCCTCCAGGGCTCAGGTAGGCTTTCTCTCAGTCCAGGCTTTAGGTCCAGGCTCCAGTAAGGCATCAAGGCACCCCCACTCCTAGCCCAGGGTCTCCATAGCCAGCTTCTCTTTGTCCAGGGCCTCCAGAGACCCTGGGGAGCCCCGCGCAGTTGCATTTTAAAAAAATGTGACAGCTTGCAGGGTGGAGATCTCTTGCTAGCTTTCACAACAGGAATCGGGGGGGGCGGGTGTGCTGGAGCTGGTCCGATCATGCTACCCTGATTATGGTGAACCTATCCTTTAAAAGAAACACAAAAACCTAAAATTAAAAGAATTACATTATGTTTAAAAATCTATTAATAATATCCCTATTATGTATGTAAACCCACCCCCTGCAGTACAGTGGACAAGATATTTAACATTTAAATAACTTTTTGTCAAACCCACTGTGTTTCCTTCTGTGATAGGCCAAAAGAGCAACAAAATGGTGGTAGTTTTCCTCTATAGGTAATGATGTGTATATAAAAATATTGATTTCCCCTGTACTACACTTATTTTAAATATCTTCTTTTTATATACTTTCAGTAATATTTTCATTACTTTAAGAGTACTTTTACAATGATTTTATTTAAACCAGTTTATTAAAATTAGCCATTAGAGAGTTACGTCTTCTGCATCCATGTTCTTAGCAACCACCCCTGAAAGGATCAGAACTTAGTGAATACATACACAAAAATGTTTCTTGCAAATATTCAGCTTTTTTGTTTTTTTGAACAGCAAATCCTTGTCCTGTGCCATTTGTTATCCCAGAGAATGCAGTTGTGACAGATACAGAGTTTTATGTTGGCCAGAAATTGTATATAAAATGTAGAAAGGGATATCGACTTGCGGGCCAAGATGTTATGACGTGCGATGCTGATGAAACCTGGACGGAAGCAAATGCCAAATGTGAAAGTAAGCTTCTCATTGTTGACCATATATTGCTGCTATTCAGAGAGATGTAGATTAAAATTCACTGGAAGGATCCCAACCTGAATAATTTTATTACAAAAAGCTATTTATTTAGTTTATGTATTTGATATGTGAATTCAAATATGCGTTTGTAAGTGCTATACATACTACTGTATGCCTGACTGGAAGCTCTGTATCTGTAGCACACATTGGAATGAAACTACAAATTAAAAAATGAGTATGCACTATATAATTCACCATTATCGCAATTATAATGGATGTGACAATTATAGCCAGTAATGTAAGCAGGGAACCCTGGTAGAGTATGTAGAAAAATGCATCTCACAAATGTTTCATGGCTAGGATTCTCTATACTTTCTGAAAGAAAATCAGCAGATCTTGGGAGTGGTGTCAGGCTCTCGCAGACTATCAATGTAGCCATCTTTCATGTACTTTATACTGGCTGACAGCTACTGATTTGTAGGAAGAATCAATGAACCACTAGAGTGCTCACCAGCGTCCTCGTAGTTCATTGAGAGCTACAAGCCATCAGCCTCAGTGGTTGACAGTAGTTGTAGTTCATTCACTCACAGAACTGTGTATTAATGACATGGCCGGGTGGGCGGAGCACTGTTAAAATGGGGACTCAGGAGAGTGCAGGAGCTGCTGATTTAGTAACATGTTACACCCTGAATATGGGTGTAACGTGTATTAAAGGTGAACCCATCCTTTAACTATTTGCCTGCAGTCCTATAGCAGAAGTACCGTTACAGGGCGGCAGGGCTGTGCAAAATCATGTATATATGCGTGATTTGCATTTCCAGGTAGGGAACGCGAGCACTCCACCCTACTTGTGCTGCCATTGGTGGTTAGGGATGTAAAACAGCACACAGCACATAATGTGAAACACACACAGCACACAGTTAACCCTTTGATTGCTTCAGACGTTACCCCTTCCTGCCCAGTGTCATTAGTACAGCGTCAGTGCTTTTTATTAGCACTGATCACTGTATTAATGTCACTGGGGATGTCAGTGGCAGTTAGTTCCCACCCAGTGTTAGAATACCCACTGCAGTCCGGCAGTCCCGCTATAAGTCGCTGATCGCTGTCATTACTAGTATAAAAAAAATTCTAGTATATATACCGCCATTTGTAGATGGTATAACTTTCACGTAAACCAATTAATTTACATGTGTTGGGATTTTTTTTTTTATAAAAGACATGTAGCAGAATACATTTTGGCCTAAATTTTTTTATTTTTTTTACTGGATATGTCTTATAGCAAAAAGTCAAAAATATTGTTACTTTTTCAAAATTGTCGATTGTTTTTTTGTTTATAGTGCAAAAAATTAAAAATGCATAGGTGATCAAATACCACTATAAGAAAGCTTTATTTGTGGGAAAAAAATTACATAAATTTTATATATGTACAGCATTGCATGACCGCACAATTGTCACTTAAAGTAACACTGCACCGTATTGCAAAAAATGGCCTGGTCAGGAAGGGGGGTAAATCCTCTGGATGGCAAGTGGTTAAAGAAAACTACTATATAAACTTTTTTTTTTTTTTTACTATGTTAGAATTACTTCCTTTCTCTTAGAATGTTTTTGTGAACCTTTAATCCTTGTGCTTTACATTAATACACATTATTTTAACTATTTTAGTATTATTTTTCCTTTCTTAGAAATTTCATGTGGCCCTCCAATTCATGTGCCAAATGCAATGGTGCGTGGACTATTCCACCATTATGGAGACATGGTGACATATTCGTGTTACAGTGGATTTATGATGGAAGGATCAATTAGGAGTGTTTGCTTGGAAAATCAGACGTGGACTACACCGCCATTTTGTAAAGGTAATATTGATTATTCATTTATATATATATTTATTTATACTGTATATAGCTTTATACTACCCAAACAAAGCATTTAGACTGGTTGGTTTTGTAACACCTAGCTAGTTTGCAATATACATTAAGCGTCTCAAATGTTTTCCAGTTTTAGTTACATTCCAGGAAGAAATCAAATAACTTTTAGAGAAACAAATGATTTAATACATTAGCACCTTTTACATGTAAGTGATAAATGTGGGTGCCTGGTGCCAGTACTCACCAAGTACCCCCTAGGTGCTAAGACTAAAAGGATGTGTTATATAGAAAAAGTGCACAACATTGGAGCAAATCATTTGTTTTCTGTGTACGGAAATGGCTTTGTAGCTTATAAAATGCTTTGACTTTGCAGCACACAGTGCACCAAAATAGCTCATTAGGAGAAGTGCACATTTCAGAGAGTAATGTAATATGCTATGTTTCATGCCATATAGGCAGCTCTTGGTTCATTATGTAGCCTTTTATTAGTTGTGAAGTGTACATTTATTCAAATACTGTATTACTTGGTGAGCACTAACTTTGGATGGAGCACTTGTGGATTGGAATATTTTTTTATCTTTGGATACACTAGGTGGCAATCTGCCCACAGTAATTGGCAGCAATGCCCTTTTAACACTTATTATAGGTGAAATATCTTTATCTTTGGATGCACTAGGTGGCATAATCTCAACACAGTAGTTGGTAGCACATTTGCCCTCTCAACATTATTAGGTGACATATCTTATATCTTTGGATACGGTGGCATAATCTCAACACAAAGTTGTAGCAGTGCCCTCTCAACACCTATTATAGGTGACATATTCTTAATCTTTGGATGCACTAGGTGGCATAATCAGCAACACAGTAGTTGGTAGCAGTGCCTCTTCAACACCTATTATAGGTGACATATCTTATATCTTTGGATGCACTAGGTGGCATAATCTCAACACAGTAGTTGGTAGCAGTGCCCTCTCAACACCTATTATTGGTGACATATCTTATATCTTTGGATGCACTAGGTGGCATAATCTCTCAACACAGTAGTTGGTAGCAGTGCCCCTTAACACCTATTATAGGTGACATATCTTATATCTTTGGATTAGGTGGCATAATCTCAACACAGTAGTTTGGTAGCAATGCCCTTTTATTATTTGTGACATATCTTATATCTTTGGATGCACTAGGTGGCATAAAACTCAACACATTTAGTTGGTAGCATTCAAATACACAGTGACATATCTTATCTTTGGATGAGCACTCAACTTTGGATGAACACTATTATTGGTGGAATATCTTATATCTTTGGATGCACTAGGTGGCATAATCTCAACACAGTAGTTGGTAGCAATGCCCTCTTAACACCTATTATTGGTGACTATCTTATATCTTTTGGTGCAATAGTGCACCTGGTACATTATCTCAAACACAGTATCTTGGTAGCAGTGCCCTCTTAACACCTATTATTATAGGTGAATATCTTATATCTTTGGATGCACTAGGTGGCATAATCTCAACACAGTAGTTGGTAGCAGTGCCTCTTAACACCTATTATAGGTGACATATCTTATATCTTTGGATGCACTAGGTGGCATAAATCTCAACACAGTAGTTGGCTGCAATATCTTGCAGTGCCCTCTCAACACTATTATTGGTGACATCCCGTTCTTAACCCGGCCCGTATCTTTGGATGCACTAGGTGGCATAATCTCAACACAGTAGTTGGTACCAGTGCCCTCTTAACACACCTAATATTGGTGACCTGGGGCTTAGAGGCCGCCCTTCTTATATCTTGGATGGCTCTAGGTGGCATAACTCTCAACACAGTAGTTGGTAGCAGTGCCCTCTTAACACCTATTATTAGGTGACATATCTTATATCTTTGGATGCACTAGGTGGCATAATCTCAACACAGTAGTTGGTACCAGTGCCCTCTTAACACCTATTATTGGTGACATATCTTATATCTTTGGATGCACTAGGTGGCATAATCTCAACACAGTAGTTGGTAGCAGTGCCCTCTTGAACACCTATTATTGGTGACATATCTTATATCTTTGGATGCAGTAGGTGGCATAATCTCAACACAGTAATTGGCAGCAATGCCCTTTTAACACTTATTATAGGTGACATATCTTATATCTTTGGATGCACTAGGTGGCATAATCTCAACACAGTAGTTGGTAGCAGTGCCCTCTTAACACCTATTATAGGTGACATATCTTATATCTTTGGATGCACTAGGTGGCATAATCTCAACACAGTAGTTGGTAGCAGTGCCCTCTCAACACCTATTATAGGTGACATATCTTATATCTTTGGATGCACTAGGTGGCATAATCTCAACACAGTAGTTGGTAGCAGTGCCCTCTGAACACCTATTATTGGTGACATATCTTATATCTTTGGATGTACTAGGTGGCATAATCTCAACACAGTAGTTGGTACCAGTGCCCTCTTAACACCTATTATTGGTGACCTATCTTATATCTTTGGATGCACTAGGTGGCATAATCTCAACACAGAAGTTGGTAGCAGTGCCCTCTTAACACCTATTATTGGTGACCTATCTTATATCTTTGGATGCACTAGGTGGCATAATCTCAACACAGAAGTTGGTAGCAGTGCCCTCTTAACACCTATTATTGGTGACATATCTTATATCTTTGGATGCACTAGGTGGCATAATCTCAACACAGAAGTTGGTAGCAGTGCCCTCTTAACACCTATTATTGGTGACATATCTTATATCATTGGATACACTAGGTGGCAGAATCTCAACACAGTAGTTGTGTCAAGGTCCTACCTTTCTTCAGAGCTTGTGCATCTCCATGAGCTGGCATCCATCTTGGTTTTCTGCAAAGCATGGTGGGAACCTTTATGCCTTCAGGCTTCTGCGGCTCCTCTTCAGAAGGGTGTGGTTGAGCACATTTAAACCTGCTGTCTGCAAGTGTGCTCTGCACTTGTGTCCTGTATGTTGCCCTGTTGCAAGCTCTTGTGTTGTTCCCATTGCTCTCCTGGTAACCGACTCGGCTTTGACAAGACTATTCTCTGTGTTAACCCTTTACCTGACCTCCCGTTGCTGAACCCGGCCCGTGACCTGAGTATTCTTTGCCTACCGTCTAGTACTGTCTGCTCCGTTGTTATTGACCCGGCTTGTCTGACTACTCTACTCGTGTTCCCATCTAGCTCCCACCAGCTGTACGCCATTGGCGGCAGTCGTTATCGCAGCTGGGGTCACTCGGGGGCCGCGACCTGGTCTCAGGCTGCGTCAAGTCCATCCCCACCATCAGGGGCCCTGGTGAAGGTCAGTAGCCTGGGGCTTAGACTCGCGCCCTGAGGGACTCCGGTCTGTGGGTAGTGGCTATCGTCAGTCGCAGCGTGACCGTACCATAGGCCTGCCTGCCCGTTCCAGCGTTCCTGCCCTGACAAGTTGGTAGCAGTGCCCTCTTAACACCTATTATTGGTGACATATCTTATATCTTTGGATGCACTAGGTGGCATAATCTCAACACAGTAGTTGGTAGCAGTGCCCTCTGAACACCTATTATTGGTGACATATCTTATATCTTTGGATGCACTAGGTGGCATAATCTCAACACAGTAGTTGGTACCAGTGCCCTCTTAACACCTATTATTGGTGACATATCTTATATCTTTGGATGCAGTAGGTGGCATAATCTCAACACAGTAGTTGGTACCAGTGCCCTCTTAACACCTATTATAGGTGACATATCTTATATCTTTGGATGCACTAGGTGGCATAATCTCAACACAGTAGTTGGTAGCAGTGCCCTCTGAACACCTATTATTGGTGACATATCTTATATCTTTGGATGCACTAGGTGGCACAATCTCAACACAGTAGTTGGTACCAGTGCCCTCTTAACACCTATTATTGGTGACCTATCTTATATCTTTGGATGCACTAGGTGGCATAATCTCAACACAGAAGTTGGTAGCAGTGCCCTCTTAACACCTATTATTGGTGACATATCTTATATCATTGGATACACTAGGTGGCACAATCTCAACACAGTAGTTGGTAGCAGTGCCCTCTTAACACCTATTATTGGTGACATATCTTATATCTTTGGATGCACTAGGTGGCATAATCTCAACACAGTAGTTGGTACCAGTGCCCTCTTAACACCTAATATTGGTGACCTATCTTATATCTTTGGATGCACTAGGTGGCATAATCTCAACACAGAAGTTGGTAGCAGTGCCCTCTTAACACCTATTATTGGTGACATATCTTATATCTTTGGATGCACTAGGTGGCATAATCTCAACACAGAAGTTGGTAGCAGTGCCCTCTTAACACCTATTATTGGTGACATATCTTATATCATTGGATACACTAGGTGGCAGAATCTCAACACAGTAGTTGTGTCAAGGTCCTACCTTTCTTCAGAAAGGTGACATATCTTATGATCTGGCATCCACTAGGTGGTTTTCTGCAAAGCATGGTGGGAACCTTTATGCCTTCAGGCTTCTGCGGCTCCTCTTCAGAAGGGTGTGTTGAGCACATTTAAACCTTGCTGTCTGCAAGTGTGCTCTGAAACTTGTGTCCTGTATGTTGCCCTGTTGCAAGCTCTTGTGTTTTTCCCATTGAAGCAGAGTTGAAAAACCGACTCGGCTATGGAGCGGTGACAAGACTATCTCTGTGTTAACCCTTTACCTGACCTCCTTGCTGAAACCCGGCCCGTGACATGAGTAATTCTTTGCCTACCGTCAAAAAAGAAGTACTGTCTGCTCCGTTGTTATTGACCCGGCTTGTCTGACTACTCATTTATTGTAATCAGGTTGACTCCCTCATCTATTCCCACCAGCTGTAACGCCATGATATGGGTTTGACTGCATTTAAAGTATCGTTATCGTGAAAACAGCATTTGGGGTCACTCAACACATGCCGCGACCTGGTCTACTTTCAGGCTGCGTCAAGGCTACCATCCCCACCATCAGGGGCCCTGCTGTTATTAAGGGTA